TGCTTTTCTCACTGGGCTCAATCAAAATGTCAGGGAGTGTGAGTTCTTTTTTGTTCTTCACTTGAATTTGAGTGTCAGTTGAGTCCACGCAGCTGGAAATGAGAAAATTCATCTTTTTCTCTCAATCCTTTGAGCCGATACGCGCGCGAGCAAAAAAGCCCTTTGATGTTGCGCATGCAAAAGTGGAAAACATGTTAAACAAGGGAAAAATCACATTGATTGAAATTACAAATGAAAGAGCAAACTTGTTAGATGCTATTTGTGACTCAGTGAGATGAGAGTACCTGTCGGATTTAAATTCACAGCATGTTTGGGGAATATCACACGATAAAAAGCTATGTACATTCCTGGGGGCGGTGTAAATCAAATCACTTTTACTCACCCAAAGCGGCCCCCAACGTCGGAGGCATGCATAATTTAAATTCTATATAGCAAAGTGGGTAAATGACAACAAAGGGAAAATTTCCATTCCACTTGCTCAAGAGACTGGGAAAGCCCCCGAATAGACTGTGAGATTTCCACTGTACCTTTTTTTCGGTTACAGCCATCGGGAAGAGAGCAAAAGAGAGAGAGAGTGGAAAAGAGCAAGAAAAATGGGGAAGTCCTAAACATGTTCACTCAATATGCGTCGCCCTGTTTGGTCTGTGCATGGAGGCAACAGGGTGTTTTTGCCACTCTCTCGCCCACCCACAACCGCCCCATTTATTGTCATTTTCGACGCGAATGAGACATTTTAGAGACCGTTTTGCAAATCTCTCTCACTCTGCCTAACCCTTGTGCCCAGAATCAACCCTCTCTCGCTCTCTCTCCCCAACCCCTCGCCCACAGCACATACATATTCGCCATACCAAATATAAGACTGCCAGCGAGGGAAAAAGCAACGCCCGAGGCAACTGGGATTCTCATGTTAACCACTACTGAATAATGAAATATTCTTTCTCCTTTTTACCGGGGTGGAACTTAATTTGCTGAATAAGATTTCCCTAACTCACACCCGCACCAACACTAACCAGGAAAATGTCTTGGAAAAAGTTTCACAAACGAACGTCATTTGCAGCAGGTGAACATTTAGCAATGTTCTTTTTTCTCACTCTCTTCTAAACAACTAAAAAGTTTCCACTGATCTGTGGGAAGTTTTGCTGCAGCTGAACTGAGATATAATGTGCACCTTGAACTACATTATTAAAGCATCTCTTAGGTGACATTCTGAAATTAGAGCAAATAAGCATAATTGAAATTGGTTGCCATCAATTAAGTTGATTATTATTAAATTGCATCTGTACAAATATAGCTTAGAAAATTCAAGTCAAGCTTCAAGTCAGATACTAAAATACTTTTTCTACTTCCTATAATTTGAAAGAAAAATCAATTCTTCCCCAAAGAATTATTTCTGCACAAAGAATTCCTCCAAAAAGACTCGCAAATATTCTGCAAGCTTTTACAAAGGAAATCCAATAAAGTTCATTAACGAAGAGAGCCACGCCTATTCAAATGTCCCGCCCACTCATCATGACCTCAACAAACATTTCTAATTATGGTGCTTCTAACGTCTTTAATTACCTGCCATTTGATCTATACTCATGATTGTGGGAAGGATAATTTAGCGCATAGATTCCAATTCGCAGTTTGACCTTTACCTTACATTCTGCACAATTGTACTCCAAGAATTTCTTCGCAATGTGAGTGACTTTCAAAGAATTCCAGACGATTAATCAACGCTTTAGGGCAAATCGGAATATTTTGCGATAATCCATGCATCATGGGGTGTTTCTATATGCACAGCGAATCCCTGCCATATGTGAATAGTGAGCGAGGGGTTGAAAAGTGTTTCACTCTTGGTGTTCTCTTGCCTCCACGCCACGAGGGTTGTTATATAAACCCTCCTCTCAGAGAGAGAGAATTTGTGGTGACTCTCAGAGAGCCCAGAGACCGAATGCAGAGTTCAGAGTTCACAGCAATTTCAGTACCAGTGCGAAAGTCAGCGACTTCGGTTGGACTTTTCACCATTATTCCCTCATTCACACATACACAATTTTCATAAGATCGTCACTTGAGTGGAGGACCCTTTTAGGCAGCATCTCAAGCCAAGGGATGAATCATCGTCAGCACCGCACATTCCAACGCTTCTTCGGTGTCTCATCAAACGCTTTTCCGGCTCTTTAGTTTGCTGTTTGTGCTGCTGTTTTTTCCACCCTATTGTGCGTGTGTCTCTTGGGGGTCCGAAATTTCGGGAGTAGAAGAAAACATACGTGAAGGAGGGAAAATAAGAATAAAAACACAAGTGAGAAAATATGATAATAACTTTCCTACATGGGGACTTTAGTGCACAGAGTGAAGCGACAAGAAATTGGGGGGGTGAAAGTTTAGTGTGAAAGGACAGTGGAGGGAAAGTTTAGCGCCCAAAAAAGTGTGTGAGTGTGTGTATTTCGCAACGAATGTAGCAAAGTGAGGAAGGAATGGTGGAGAAATTTATTTAATATTCTCCATATTCCCGCGCGAATTTCCTCCTTCTCGCCTCTTTTCCATGCCATCGCAAATGGGCGAGGAAAAAACACTCGAGGGAGAAGTTTGAGTGAAATTTATTGGCAAAGATTAAATTCAATAAGTGAAAGAATTGAACTGTAAATTATTTTACAATGACAGACAAATAAATTGCGATAAACTTTATTGCATAATATAACACAGTCAGCAGTGAAAGTGTGAAACAGACGGACGGTGTGCGGGGATATAAAGGAGAAAATCATTGAAATAATTTTCCCCACGGGTGATAAAGGAGGGAGAGAAGCATTGCGCCTCCAAGACGCAGTGCCGCAAGAAAAACCAGTCGGCGGCCAGAGAAGAAAAGGAAGTGACTCGAGGCGGAAGTGAGTGGCTCTTTTCAAGCATAGTTTTCTTCCCAAACACGCACCACCAGAGTTGGTGAAGTTGTCGGTGAGAGGGTTTGGGGTAAAAACATAGCATCATCAATAGAAATTTTCAACTTGGAATCCAATATTACAAGTTTGGCGAGTGAGAGTGTGTGTGCATAGGAGAGCGGAAACAAGAACAAGGGCAAGTGAATTTCTTGTTCTTGTTTGTTGTTCAACATCAGACACAAGCAGGCTCGAGCTGAGACAGCGCCAGAACAGTTGGGGTGAAAAATTCTATATATGAAACAGAAATAAGTGCATACTGAATTGTACCATTTTATTTGGAAGACAGAGGGCTGTTCCTTCGGGGTGGGAGGAGGGCGAAGAAAGAAGTGCCTCGAGGAGGGAACTGACAAAAATTTCAAATAAGTCCTTTTACATGTTAGCCCCCCACCCAAGAGGCCCCGAAGATAATACTCCAAGGGTGAAAGTCGAAGGAGCAAAAACCTCCACCGCCGAAAAGTGGGGGTGGACTACAACGAAATTATTAATTGTGGCTTTCCGGATGGTGAATCATCATCCCTTTTTGTGTGATTCCTCTCTTCTGGCTCGCTTTTTTTTCTTCCAACTTGTACTGCTGTTTGTGGCTCATCCACCGCGTTTTTGGGAGGGAAAAGTTTGCCGCAGGACGAAACAGAGACCACAATTTTCTGCCGTGTTGTTTCCAACTCACACCCGACGCCGTCGCGCCTTACGTGAAAGCCGCCCAGCCGGCAAAGGAAAAGTGCGTGGGCGCGCGCGAAGGAGGAGCACCACCACTCTCTCTCTTTCCCATTTCATCGCCAGAGGAATATTATAAACTTTTTAGCATAATCGTCTGTGAATTCGCCCTCCCTTGGACTTCCACTCGGCGCACGGGTGTCATTTCATCATCACTGGGTGCAAAGTGGGGAAAAATATATTCAGAGAGACGACAATTAAATTTATTTCAATTCATTTTTTATTTTAATCTCACCTGTCCCGTGACAGAGACTCTGTGAGCTCTGAACTCTGGGAATCAGGGCAAGGAAGTCGTCGTTTGCATCGCACAATCTCGCAATTTCAAGGCTATGAAAAGTTTCTAAAGCTGCTAATGTAAATGGCGAAAAAATGTGGGAAAGAGCTTATGATTAGGGATTTCCATAACAAATGAGCACAGATCCTACAGTAACGAAAATTAGTTTAGCACACCTAAGAAATTTAGGCCAATTTTTCTTTCAGCGCTGAAAATGATATATTTCTTTCGTCTAGAAACTAAAATCATTCATGATCTTCTTGATGCTATTTGACAGTCAGGCTTCAATCAAGCATTACCTTTGTGATCCTTGGGGACTTTCTCACTGCACTTTCAGCTCTGAGATCACTGAAAGCATATAAAGCATGGTATTTCTCGAATTTTCAGATACACCATCGGGTGATGCAGCAAACGATATAGAGAGTAAACCAATAGAAGTCCCTCGCCGTCATTGATATGGGCGATGGTGTGGGGAAGTGAAGAAAAGCAACTTCCTTGGGAATTATTCGTGCATTAATAATGGAAATTTCACTGTTTTTCCACCCAGTGTGATTTCCGTGTTGCGAAGGAAAAAGCCAAAGGCGAGAGAGAGCAAATCAAAGCCGTTATGCTGTATGACTGAGAGGAGCGATAGGAAAAAATACAACCACCTCAGGTGTATATAATACTGGGGAGATTGAGGAGATTTTTCAAATTACTCCACAAGGAATCAACATTTGAAAAGGCAGCGTGGGACAATGCCATTGGAGATAGAGTCTCTATGTGGAAATTTCCACCAGTGAGATTTCCAATTAAATTGCATTTTTCACAAGCCCACACCATCCGCATAGGAGTGTTCATGAGCAGAGGGTGGAGAGCATAGAGAGCGAAAGGCATTAGCGAAGACGTTGTGCGCCAGTTGTAGGATATAAATGGAATCAAGAGGTGGATTTATCCTATTCATTTCCCACTACTTACTCATTCTCCACCTCAATCGGCATGCAAATGGATTCCTGTGGAATAGTGATATGTGCGGATGGAAAAACAATGAGACACTAATTTGTGATTTTCGCAACGCTACCAAAGACAGTCTTCCGCCCACGGGCGCCGCTGAGGCTTGGCTGGGAATTAGGAGTCTCGAGATCAACTGTCGATGGTACAATTCGAGTGATTTTGGGGATTTCCCCGCGCACGCACACCAAATCCGTGAGCTTAGGGTGGGAAATTGTCCCGAGTGGAGACTCCCAAGTAGTTTGGAGGAACTCACAATCCTCAATGCATCATCAAATCGCATTCAGGATTTAACAGAGCTCAAAACTTTCGTGTCACTGCAAGTGGTGGATTTATCCGACAATGCCATACAAGCATTGCCATCTGAATCGTTGGATCTCAAGATGCTCAAAGTGCTGAATGTGTCTAACAATCAGCTGACCACCCTCTCGCCGGATACACTCAAGTGGACACGACGCCTCCACGACGTCAATTTACATGGCAATCGCCTGGAAAGTCTACCTGATGGCGTCTTTAGTTGGCTAGAAGTGCTCGACACACTTGATTTATCACACAATCGCCTCGACAGACTCACCTTCCTCCACGCAGACGGACTGCAGAGTCTCAGGGAGCTCCACCTCAGTCACAATCGCCTCACCACTCTCTCGACTGGCAAGCACTTTGCCACGCTGCAACACCTCGAGCTGTTGGATCTCGAGGCGAATGCCATTATGCAGCTGTCTGAGGAGTCGTTCAGCGGATTGACCCACCTGAGAATGCTCATTCTAGCAGCAAATCGCCTCACGTACTTGCCAATGAGAATCTTCCACCCACTCCACAGCATCCAACATCTCTACATGGAGTCCAACAGACTGACCACGTTGCCTGCCAGCATCTTCACCGACTGCTGCCGGAAGCTCATCGATCTCAATCTCAGCGAGAATGATTTCGCCGTCGTGCCGCCGGGCATCGACACACTGCACGAGCTCAAGTCCCTGGATCTCGGTGGGAATCGCATCAGAATGATCAATGGCACCCACTTGGCGGGTCTGGAGCAACTGCTGGGCCTGCGTTTGGTGGACAATCACATCGAGAGCATCTCCAGTGACTCCTTCCGCCACCTCCATGGCCTCAGAGTGGTTAATCTCGCCTCCAATGCCATTCATCATCTCGCTGAGGATGCCTTCAGTGCCAATACGGACCTCCGCGTCATCCGACTGGACAACAATCACATCGCCAACATACCACCGCTCCTGCTCCAACCCCTGGACTCCCTGGTCTGGCTCAATTTGTCCACCAACCATCTCACGACGCTCAATTTCGCCGCACTCCCATTGCAACTTGAGTGGCTGGATGCGACCATTAATAATTTAGACTATTTGGAGAATTCTGGCAGCAATTTGCACTTATCGCTTCGCCACATTAATTTAGCCGGCAATAAATTACCATCTATGTTTCCGGAAGTCATCCCAAATGGCGTCGAGAGTCTCCACCTTGGCAATAATTCAATTGTCCAGCTCGAGAGGAATGCCTTCCACGGCAAGACTCACCTGACACACCTGGATCTCTCGCACAATCACCTCAGCTATCTCGACTCATCAATCTTCCCACCCCGGATGATTGTCTCACTGGCTGGCAATCCCTTTCCCTGCGACTGCACCATCCAGTGGCTCTTGCAGGCCACCACGACGGTCAACCTGCCCTTCTGGGTGGATGATCTGCAGGCCGTGACGTGCGTCACACCCATGGCCAAGAGAGGCACCCAGCGCTTCCCACTCTACTCCCTCCAGCAAAAGAATCTCATCTGCAAGTACCGCGAGAAGTGCGATGACTTCTGCCACTGTTGCGACTTCGATGCCTGCGACTGCAACAATCAGTGTCCCGAGAAATGCGAGTGCTTCTTCGAGGTGCGTGCAGACGGTGAGACGCGCTCCAATGTGGTGGATTGCGGACATGGCAACTTCACCGACATCCCAGACAGGATCCCAATGGGCGCCACAACAATCTACCTGGACGGAAACAGTGTGAGCGACGTGGGAAGTTTCGGTTTCATTGGAAAGAAGCACTTGGAGGTGCTGTACCTCAACGGCACGAGCATTCACACCATTCAGAATGCCACATTCAGTGGATTGACCCAATTGCGTCACCTCCATCTCCAACATAATCAGATTGGCTCACTGCAGGGCTCAGAATTTCATCCCCTGCTGAATTTGGAGCGCCTCTATTTGCACAACAATCTCATCGGCAGCATTGCTAATGCCACTTTTAGTCACATGCTCCACCTCAAGGAGCTCACACTGGCCCACAATGGCATCACCACTGTTGCCGTGCTGCACCTCCTGTCGCCCCTCATCACTCGCCATGTCCTCCGGGACGTGTACGTGGGGAATGTGTTCGGCTGTGACTGCAGCAGCCTGGCCAAATTGGCCCCGCCACCCCCACGTGAGATGGTGTGCCGCTCCGCCGAGGCTGGCACTCGGCCCGTCACGGCCGTGTGCGCCCACCTCTCCATCTTCCTCCTGCCGCCCAATCGGATGAATTATGTCATCGGCGGTGACTATCTCTCCATTGCGGCCGCCACCCTCGTGTCAACCCTCTCCATCGTCGTGCTCATCATCGTCGTCTTCATCTTCAGGCGCAACCTCCTGCTGATTCTCTTCACCAAGTGCGGCATCAGGTGTCCCACCGGTGACACCTCCTCCGACCGCGACTGCACAAAGCTCTACGACGCCTTTGTCTTTTGCTCCAGCCGCGATGCCGACTTCGTGGACAGATTCGTGGTGGCGCAGATGGAGCACATCGGCTTCTCCGTCTATCTCGCCCCATCGCAGAACACCCTCCACGTTGCCCTCGATATCGCCACGAAGCTCATCGTCATCGTCAGCAGCACCTTCCTGCAGCTGGAGTGGAAGAGCACCAACTTCCGCACCATCCTCACGTCGCCCAATTGCTGGCACGGCGTCATCCTCATCATTGCCGTGCCACTGGAGCTCCTCACCGCCGATCCCGACCTCATGAAGCTCGTCAAGCACACCACGGTCCTCTTCCTGGGCGAGAAGCGCTTCTGGGACAAGCTCAAGTACGCCATGCCGCCGCGCGAAGGCATCCAGAAGGCGCTAACAGTGCGGAACACCCTCACGTGCGCCCCGTCGGACTCCACATCCACGTCAACCAGTGGCATCGCCAAGAGAAGCAGCAGTCACATCTACACCACAATCCTGGCAGATGAAGTGACAACGAGACAGGCGTATTTCGTCTAAGTCTCACGCAATCTCTCATTCCTCACCCCATTTTTATATATACATATATAAAAAAATACGATATAAATATGTACACGTCAATTTTATCGCGCAATTCCTGTACATTTATCTATCTCATCATATTTCCTTCTTTTTTATGTAATACTTTAGCGAAACTTGTTCGATATTATCAAGAGCTCTCATATTGTGAAAATTAAATTCCATCAGAACAGGTAAAACACAACAGAGAAAAAAAAATGTATAACGATCATTAAAGAAATGATGAAACTTACAACGCCCAGCACTTCTTCAATGTCATTTCGCCGACAATCTCCTGGTTAATTTGTCCACCTCAAGTCCAAGGGTATCCAAATTCTCCTGCGGAAGAAAAACCACAACAACAACATCAGCGTTTTTCCATTATTCACAGCTCACTCTGGAAAATTGCACGGCAAAACCACACCAAGGGAAATCATTTTTGCAGACACCGCATTAAAAATTATATTTTAATACAACTTTCCACTCTTTCCCTTAAGACACTCTCCTCCTGTCATGTTTTCAATTCAGGAAACGTGTTGCAAAGGTAGGAAAAGACTTTGAATGACTGATAAGCAGAATACACGATAGAAGCTTCAGCAGACGTGCGGAGATTTGAGAAATTGAACATGTACAGTAAGTAGAGCGTGTCGAATTATATCAACTCTCTACAAAGTAACATGACGCATCGATAAGATGTGTGGTCAATCCCAGATTAATAAAAGTACATTTTAAGAGGCAAAAGGGCAAATAAATAACTTTAATGTTGTTATTCTCCTTTTTTTACTAGCCTTTGTATTGGAATCATTTATTGGACAACTATATACTTTAGCAATATAGTTTATATCCCTTTTCCCAAAAAAAAATACTGCAATACAAAATATTTTACGAATGTTATTTGAACATACTAAAATCCGAATGAAATATTTAGCCGGAAATTCCGAAAATACGCAAATAATTTCAATACAATTTATTCCCACTGTTCTCTTCATCATTTAATCAACTTCACTGTTTAAGCATTCATGGAAAAAAAATCAATAAAAACCTCATCACACAAAATGTGTATTGCCGGCATTAATGATTACGCAGCGTCGATAAAAATGTATGCATTAATTAGCAATGACAAAAAGACTGACAAATTCCCACAGAAATAAACGATGCAAAAATTATGATAACATTTTTTTACAACCATTTTTCAATTTAATTCTCCACATGTTGATTAATAAATGAACGATTTGAGTGAGAGATGAAAACACAAACAATATCGCGATGACATCATTTTTTGTTATTTTGTACAAATTGCTTAATAAATTTTGCGGAAAAACATCATCATCATAATTATTGTACACCTTTGACAATGCCAATGGGGGAGAAATCATGCACACACAGCAAATAAAGCATGAAAATAAATTATATAAACTTCCCCACGCGTACGCAATTCCTCGAACAGGGCTTTTTTCACCACCTCCGCAATCTGCATTATTAATTTGCCAAACTCCATCACGTTAAGTGATAAGGCAAAAGCCAAGTGCAGAATGTATGGAAGATTAAAAAATGTTTTCTGGTGTAAACACTGAAGACAAAATTCCTCCGTCTGCCTCAGAAATTGCTAAGTCTCACCCTTGAGCCCTCGCTTGAGCTCGACTTAAATTCACACCCCAGGAAAGGGATCTATTTTTTCTCACGACGAACACTGAATCATATGACAAAAGAGCGCAAAAGGGCACGATTAGAATTTCCCGCAATGTACATTAAGTTCTTTTCTGTCTTCAACCCCGTCGAGAAGATATTTACACAGTTGAGACCAATTTTGAATATTGCGATTTTTGACACGTTTCCCGAGTATTGAAAACTTTTTCAATCTCAAACTTGGCTGAAAGTCGGAAACAGTTGGTAATTGCTTTGGTAGACGTGTTGCTGGGTTGGATATAAAGTACAAATAGATTCACCACAAAGCGTAGTATTTCACCTAGTTATGAGACAATCAATTCGTGATTGGAAAGCGTATACGGAAAATTGATACAATTATACGTATTCTTTTTATATCCTTTCATATTCAACCAAACCACCACATTTCACTCTATATTAAATGCCACAATTTTTGGCACATGCATTTGTGTACATATATTTTGTATTCCTCCCGAAATTTTAATTCAACTGAAAGCGATCAAAGTGATAAAATCGTGTTAAATTATGTCCAAAAACTTTCACGCTATTTTTGGCCGTCGCTCCATGTTATTTTGCAGACATTGGTAAGAGATTAAAATGCAATGAATATACTGTGATAGCGAGAGAAATAAGTCCACAAAGTCTAGAACTTTAGTTTCTGCTTTTATCTCGACGTGTTGCCCACACGATGAAAGTATAATTCAAACGAGAAAAATTCCAATATAAATACATAATTCAGGGAACTGAAATTGTGAGGCATTATAAAGTTTGCTCCAAATTTAGAGATGATGGAAAATTCTCTCATCATTCATGGCCCAGAGGCAACCAATCTTCCAAATTTCACGAAATAAAAGGAACACATATTGAGAGAAAATGAAGAATAGATAAAATTATGTAATATGAATAACTTTTGAACAAGTTAAATAGCCTTCCAGCAGTTAATATATGTAAACACATCATCGGAACTACTATGAAATCGACTGAAAATGATTGACTGGGAAGGAGGGAAAACAAATGCCCAAAAGTTTATTTTTAAACATTCATGATTTTGCAGAGATTTATGTAAATGCATTACAGGAATTTTATTATACATTTTACGTTGTAAAAACAACACAAAAAAAGAGAGCGAGAGATTTATACAACAAAATGCTTCGAGCAAGTAATTTATGCACTACCGGATATTTTATTACATTCCTCACCATATTTGGAGCACACATGAGAAACATTTAGGGGCGAAATGAGATACAATATTTGCACACTTTTCATCTTTTTTCCCACTTCAACACGAATTTCTCGGGTGTATTAAGTTGCTGTGCAATATAGAGACATTATTGCAATAGCTCAACTCTAGTTGTGCCCAAATGGAAACTCCTTTGCTATATATATTTGAACACCCAGATTAGCATAGTGGAAGCATAAAGTTATGCAGTTTCTGCTAAAACTGACATTCACTCCGAACACCGTAACACGGTAAATGTTCGATAAACGCGCTAAATTACTAAATAACACCCTCAACGCTATATGGAGTGCCATAAATCGTTCTCATATCCAATTTGGAAATTACCGTTTAATTTCAGCACTGTGAATAATATCAAAATCCCAAAGTCATGTCAGTATATTCACGGCGCCAAAATGGAGAGCAGAAAAAATTACTCTGGAATTTTACACTCCGTTCCCCCCCTCAAATCATCGAAACTGAGAGGAGAATCTTGATTGATCTGAAAAATGTTTTATCGACTCCGGAATAAGGCATCATTTTCGCATGGCAGCAAGAACGCCAATTGCATTATTCATAAGATGACCCACAACGCGCGCAAACGGAAGTCAGGATTGCGTGAAGTTCCCCCAAACCCAAAAAATCACCCGGGCTCAGAGGGTGGAACGCGCCCCAGGCGCTGAAGGTTAAAGTCATAATCAATCTTGTATCGAACATAGTTTGGCGGGAGAGCTTTCGCGCTTCCTGGCAAATGCCAGTGAATGATATTCAGAGAATCACACTTCCTCTTCGTTCAGCTCCAGAAAGACATGCATAGGGGAAAGTGGGGCAATTCTTAAACATGTACATGTCAATGTTATCGTCAATAACAATTCTTGTTGTCATACAACCTACTTTTTTCCCTTTCATGTCGCTAACGAGATCAAATTACGAATATTTAATTATGTCTTAAACAACCCCGTTTTCCTCTAAATTTCCACCACATGAAGGAAACGGAAGGAAGGATGGCTCGGGAGAATGTCAATCGATCTTTTGTCAAATTCAGGAGCATAATGTATTTAGGCAGGTTAAAAGTTGAAGCATTGTGGATAGTGAGTGAGAGAGAGAGAGAGTTCATTTTCCATTGACCTCAATCAGGAGCATCGGATCTCATAAATAATCCCAACCTATCGCCATATGAGTTCAATGGTATGAAAAATTCATCCTTTCACCCATTTCCCGAGCTGATAATTTTGCCCAGACATCAGAGAGTGACGTTGTGGGTGGGAAGAAATCGCCTTACCTTGAGGGTGATGTTCTTTAGCAGCGTGTCCTCGAGCAGCGCCTGAAGCTTTCGATTGATTTCCAGGGATAAATCGAGGGTCATTTCGCCACTCTTGTTCGACGTCCCACCGTAGATTGCCGCCATTATTCCGCCACCGTATTTGGCCAGCTCAGCCTTGTGCCGGTCACTCTTGGACGACGCCAGGGCGCCGCACTGATCGCGCAGCATGTAGTACTGTAGCACCTTTGTCTTCTTCTGCAGCTCCGACACGAGCGTGGCGGAGTGATTCTCCAGGAAGTCCAGCTTCTCCGCCTGGCGCGCGCTGGCCTGCTGCAGCCGCAGAATCCGATCGATCAGCGTCTGGCGCGATGGCTCCAGCCCAGACACCGACAGCGGCGGCGTGCCGCCCTCAGAATGCGCCTGAGAGTCCGTGTCACTCACTTGCGGCGATGACTCCTTCTCCGAGCTGTTCTCCGACGCCACGCTGACCACATTCTCCTGTCGTCGACGCACTTTCTCAAGCTCCCGATTCAGCTCCTTCACAGTCTGCGCATTCTTCCTCTTGGCAGCATCCAAATCTCCCAGGGCCGAATCGAGCTTCTTCTGCGTAGCCTCGCAGAGTTTCGTCTTCTCAGATATGTGCTTCGTCAGGAGAATCCTCTCGTCGTTCTTCTGCGTCCTCTCCTTGTCCAGATCGCGCTCCAGTTCGGCAATGCGATCATCGTAGATCTTCTTCTCCTTCTTGATCGCCTCATTCTCGAGGCACAACGCCACAGCCTTGGAATTGTACAGTGTGATCTCATTCTGTAACTTTACGTTTCTCTCCGTGAGGTCTCGGTTGAATTGCAACAATTCCGACTCCTTTGTGCGTATTTCCTGCAATTCCACCAAGTTGTCCTCATAATTGCGCACCAGAACATCATGCTCACGCCCTTGCCGGGCGCCATTCTCCTTCTCCAGCGACAACTGCGCTCTAGTCGCCTCCAAATCACTGAGTTTCGCCTGAAAATCCGCCACTTTAAGCGTTTCCTGGTCAAGAGTGGTCTGCAAATCATTGATTTCAGCATTCAGCTTCGCCACTTCCTCACTGAGACTCTCCCTCTCCTGGAATACCGTTGAATACTTTACTCGCAACTCCACCAATTCACTTTGTACTTCCTGCAATTTCTTCTCAGTCGCCTCAATCTTCGCCTCCTTCTCCTCATTGCCATGCTTCAGGAGGATCAGCGAAGCCTGCTGCTCCATGCATTGCTTCTCCATGTGCGCCACTCGCTCAGAATCGGCCTCATTCTTCACCCACGCCGCCTCGTTGCACTTCAATTGACCGACTTCCACCGTCAGCTCATCGATTCTCTTCTCCGCCGCTTGTCTGGAATCCGTTTCCTGCTTCATTTTACTCGTGTGCCACTTGACTTTGGACTCTAGCGCGACATTCTCGCTCTTCAGCCGCTCAATTTCCTTCTGATGCGATCGAATTTCGTGACACTGAAATGGAAATATTGATTTATGAGACAATGCGATAAGCCAAATGTGCAGAAAAGTCCCACCTTTTGATCCAGCATTGTGCATATTCTATTCTTCTCGCCATTCAACATCTTCACCTTCCCATTCAGCAGGTCGCACTCCTTCTGTGCCTCGCGGCTCTTCTTCTCAGCGCCCTCCTTCAGCTGATTGGCGTCCAGGATCTTCTTCTCCAGTGTGCAATACTTGATGACTGCGCCCTCCTTCTCACGCACGGCCAAGTCCAGCTCTCGCCGCATCAGCTGATTCTCCTTCTCCAGGACATTCTTGACCTTGTCGCACGTGGCAATCGTCTCCTCGCGCTGATTCACCATCGTCTGCAGGTAATGGCACTGAGCCTGCAGATTGTCGACCATCAGCTTGAGATTGGCCTGCTCCTCCAGACGCTTGCACTCCGCCTCGTTCACTGGACAGCTCTGGACGGTGTCGTCAGTGGGCGGCTTCTCTTCCCGGGACGATTCCGAGCTGGCATCATCATCCACAGCCCTCTCAGGCAGCTCTTCAGCCCCCAAATCCACCTCCTCCACTTCCACAGCTGTGACTTTCTCACACAAAGTCTCTCCGTTTGTGACCCTCAGCTCGGTGCTCACTTCCTCCGCAATCACCTGAGCGTCGTCCATCAAGTCTCTCACCTCTGACGCCATGCTTCCGGATGATAGTCTGTCGAGACGGCTCCTAATTGGTCTTACATCTCTGGAATAAGCGAGTTTTACACCTTCACTCCACTTGTTGTTTTTTCCACATTCCACAAAAGTCACTGTTTGTCAGTCGCTCGTTTTCCCAGTTTTCAGCCAAATCCACTCATATCAGTATCATTACAAATAAATGCAGGCGAATTGTTTCCCATCATTTTCCTCTAGACACAGAGGCTTTCCGGTGATATTAGTTGACGGGTTTTTGTCCAATCTATGGATTTTGCAAATCTCAAGAAGATGGAGAATTTAAATAAACAGCAAAATAGTATTAAAATATAATATCATCCATTTCCAGTACTGTACTCGTTTGCTTTTTGTATATGCAGAACTCTACAGCCGGGTGAAAAAATATCCCTGACAACTCACGCACACCACAGAAATCTTCACACACGCAACGTCATGACACTTTTTTCTCAGTGTCACGAAAAAAGAACCACACACAGAGAAAATATCAAATTTTCTCGTCAATAACAAAATATTTAGTGTGTTTTGCGTGTGTCAAAATTTTCTTTGTGGTGTTTTTCCTTTCCTCTGCAAGAACAGTTCTTATCTCCGAAGATATTGAGAAATACAATAAGTGCATTGTTTGCCATTTCACTTTCTGCGTTCGCCACTCTTCGCACACACATTTCTTATGGTTTTGTACACAATTGTGTACTATTTATTTCATTTCTACTTGAGATATCGCCATAGAATTTTCGCAATTTTGCCAAATCGCTGTCGTCAAATTCTCACCAATGTTGTTGAGACAATGGACTCAATGATTGAATCGTATTTGGGCGCCGTGGACACTGCCCAGGAGCCCGATGACATTCCCAAGGGCTGCGCGGATACCGTTTGGATACTTGGGAAGAGCTACAGTCCCGTCCAAGGTAGGGCCGAGCCCAAGGCTATGCATGCACTTGACTGCAGAGTGTCGCTTGATTTTGCAGAGTTGGAACTCATCCGGAGGGACATTCAGACGCGAATCTGGTGCACTTATCGACGTGGCTTCGTTCCCATTGGCTCGCCCCAATTGACCAGCGACAAGGGATGGGGCTGCATGCTGCGGTGCGGCCAAATGGTCCTGGCCCAGTCGCTGCTGGACCTTCACTTGGGGCGCGATTGGTTTTGGACTCCAGAAACTCGGTGAGATCAGAGAGAAACAAGCCTTGAGATGATGTAATTGACTGGAAACGTGTCTTTTTAGGGATCCAACCTACCTCAAGATCGTCAATCGCTTCGAGGACAACCGAAAGAGTCCCTTTTCTATACACCAAATTGCTCTGATGGGTAATTCTGAGGATAAGAAGGTCGGGGAGTGGTTTGGCCCAAACACTGTCGCGCAAGTTCTCAAGTATGACCTGAAAATTCCCAAGTGAAGCATCCTAATCTCAATTACATGTTTACTTTTGCAGAAAACTGCTGAAGTATGACGATTGGAGTAGCTTATCTATTCACGTTGCCCTGGACAATGTCATCTACTTGGATGATATCAAGGAGCTCTGTTGTGATGATGAGGACAAATCGTGGAAGCCACTGCTGTTGATTGTCCCACTGAGACTGGGCATCAATGAAATCAACCCCATTTACATCGACGGACTCAAGAGATGCTTCGAGATTAATCGAAATATGGGAATGATTGGCGGAAAGCCCAATCAAGCTCTCTACTTTATTGGCTACGTTGGGGACGAGGTGCTCTATCTCGATCCGCACACAACTCAGCGCAACGGGAGTGTTGGTGGCAAAGAAACAGCCGAAGAGATTGAAATGGACGAGACTTTTCATCAGAAGTACGCCAGTCGAATTCCCTTTCGGCAAATGGATCCATCTCTAGCCGTGGTAAGGATTTTCACCAACTCTGCCGTTCGTGAACACTAAAAATTGGTCAATTTCAGTGCTTCCTCTGTCGCACTCAACTGGAGTTCGATGAACTCTATGCACGTCTTCTTCAGGACGTCCTCTCAGGTTCTCACGCCCTGTTCGAGGTGATCCAGACGCGACAGCAACCCTGGCCGTCCGTGGCATCGACCTCAGCCACAACAAGTCACCGCAGAGTCCGCAATCGTGGCGAGAGTGAGACTGATCCGACTTTAGGTGAATTTGAAGAACTGGATGTGCGTCAATCCGACGAGGACTTTGAAATCATTACATAAAAGTGTAAATATTCTGAATATAATTTTATATACATCTAGTGGACTTTTGAAGTGGCTTTTACTCATAAGGCGAGGAGCATTTCTTTACTAAATCTCCGTAAATCTGTCTAACTCGTCGAATCATCTTTATAATCCAATTTTAGATGCAGATCTGGGTTAAAAATACCAATAAGTTTTCAATTCCTGAAATATTAATTTTGCTGGTAATTTTTTGTAATTTTTCATCTTACTTTTTGTAAATAAAAGCTAGATAAAAGCATTGATTTTGAATTTATAATTTCTCCACTATTTGCACTATTTGTGCTGGATTACACAGGGAACACAGTCAGACGGGTGCACATCTGAATGCAGTCCCAAAAATGTGTCCCAAAAACTATTGTTTTGCGTATGGCAACACTAGAATCCCGGCTGTTGTTGCCCTTGAACGCGCGTATTCGAGAAATTCGACTGTTTTAATGTAAAATGGTATGTTTTGGCACTATTTACTGAAATATCTCGGGAAAACTACACCCAGTGTTGTGGCATTCAATTTATCAGTGTGAATTCAAGTTGTGGCGAATTCTGCTCGTACCGCGATTCGTGCGCATACGCCTATGAAGCCGTGGGGCTGGTCAGTCGGGACAGTTTTGACAATCGCGTATTGTGGCCGATATAATTGATAGTTTTGTATTTTAGGTGAAAAACCCCATAAAATCCCGTGAAAACTACACCTAAAGACAATAGTTTATTGATTGGATACTGTTGGAAGATACTGTAAGTGTTTGTTGCCACGAGAAATCAATCTGCACAGTCAAATTGGGGGCAGCTTGGCTCTTTTGTGCTCCCGGACAACGCCTTCGAAATGGGCTGAAGAGCCAGTGAATTCCAACTCATTCGGCTCTTTTTCACCTTTTCCCACGACCGTGTGGCCTCTGTTTTCCCGCCTCCCATCGCAACTGTCGTCCACTCTCTGGGTTGCTTGCGAAATTGATGGCCCACTTCCGCTTGGGGACCTCCAGAGAGAGTGTGAATCATCGCGAGCCTGATATGATGTCATGTTTCTCAACATTGGAGGCCACCGGTTCCCAATAGGAGAACCTCTCCAGCGGATTCCCCGCTAATGCGCGGCCGATTCACATGGCAATAGCATGATTTGCCCAATTCGGGACTGTAACGAGGTACTTTCTTGCCGAACAGCCGAGAAAAATTGCTGTGAGTTAATCACTGGAACAGTTAATCTAGTGTTTGCCAAGTGAGGAAAAGCCTCACACACGGAATGCGCGCCTCGGGAGCACACAAGACCTCTCTGCTCTGCTCTGCCAATTGACTGTGATTCCCCTGCCAGTGATTTCTGCGCCTCACCCTCTTTTGCCATTCCCCAAACACAGTGTGAGACACAGCTTTCAAGTATGTCCAAGAAGCCAGCAAATGGTCCGGCACTCCACAAAGTGATCATGGTGGGCAGTGGAGGTGTCGGCAAGTCTGCCCTCACCCTTCAGTTCATGTACGACGAGTTCGTGGAGGATTACGAGCCCACAAAGGCGGACAGCTACAGGAAAAAGGTAAACACACCGTCTCAGCAGCCTCAGCCGGAGTCTGTCTGGTCAAGGACTCCCTGCAGAGATGCTGAAATTATAAATTCTCAAGTGTGCCTCAAAGTGCCTTCAACTCAATTGCTAATTGAGCCATTAGCACAAATTGATTTAACATATCGCGCTGAGTGAGGAAAAAAAAAGCCTTTACACAATTGCTCTTATCTCTATCTGCCAATTGGAGTCACTTTCTTGGAGGAATTTGCAAAGGCACATGACGATTATGGTGTGCTTCGCGATGGGAAAGCAACACAAAAGCCCCACACACAATGTGTTTATTGATTCAAAAAAAAAAGTGAGACGGTTCTATAAACTATTTGTGTGGCTATTCTTAGAAAATTCATTCAACATTGCAATACAAGTTTACAAAAAGTGTTGCGCTTTCATATATTGTAAATTAAGAAGCTGTGGCACTTTGAATCACCACTGCGTTAAGCTTCAAATCGGATCTGCTGTATATGTTTAAATTGGCACGATTTGCCACCCAAATTCCAGTTCTCTTTTATTTGCATTTTCTCTCCTCTACACTCAGAACAATATAATATGTTCTTGAACCAAGAGAAATGAGTATTCTAGCCCTATTCCGTCTAGAAAACGTCTAAGACTGCTTGATTTTAGTCTTTTCTGTTTAAAATCCACACGGAAATCTTCGTTAATTGGTTTTCAACTTGATTATTCTTGGATATATGTTGAAACCGATTAAATTTCAGCCCATTTTTCTCTCAGTATATTTTGTGGCCAATGAGGAAAAATCATTGAAAATTCTCCTCTATTTGTAATCAAATGACCCAGATAATAATTTGCCAAAAATTCAATCTCGCGCCACTCATAAGTAATTCAATGAAAGAGAGGAGAGAAAAATGATTTAATGTGAAATAATAACACATTGCATGTGATGCAGAGAAAAACACACACACCCATTGCGCCTAGTGTGAAGATGATGAGCGTTCATCAAGCTGACCATCAAATTGTAGACGGTTAAGTTCAGTTACAGACACCGCCCAGAAAAACGCTTCACTCATGTCGATTGATAGCTAGCATAATAATCAATTATGATAATAATTTCAAGTGAATAACTTTTGGCGCATTGAAGCAGAAATCCTGGCAAGTCCTTTCTCTGCTGGTTGTTTTTTTTCTCGGCTTTTCCCCAAGATTTATCCAACATGACTTGCTGAGGGGCCAAAGCAACTTGACGCCATAATCGTGACAATGCGCTATTCAGATGAATTTATGAACATGTGAAATGGCAAAATTGCTCCCATTCTAATTAGTTGAAGAGAAAATTCTGTGCTGCGGGATTTAAATCCCAGTGCACACAGCATTAAATTCAATTATACAATAATAAATCATCTGGAGTGTCTTCGTCCTACCGCACAACATGAGTCCGGTCACCTGGAGTTGGTAATTAAGCGTCTCAGAGAGTGGCTACAATTGAGAGAAAGAATGATTTTCGGGCGCGATTAGTTCACACGCGGTTCCCTTTTGATGGCACTCATTTTCGGTGGGTGAATTGAGGTTGATAATGCCGGTCGCGAGAGTGTGGGAACGAGTCAAGAACCATAATAAGTGAATAAGGCGACCGCAGAGTGTTGGGAGTTTTTGCGTGACTGATTCATATAACGACACACAAACACACGCCATTTCAAGCTTGATATTCTTCTATTTCGAGTCTCTTTCCCTCCCCCTGCAATTTCAGGTGGTTCTGGATGGCGAGGAAGTACAAATTGACATACTAGACACTGCCGGCCAGGAGGACTATGCCGCCATTCGGGACAACTACTTTCGCAGCGGCGAGGGATTCCTCTGTGTCTTCTCCATCACCGACGACGAGAGCTTTCAGGCCACCCAGGAGTTCAGGGAACAGATCCTTCGCGTTAAGAACGACGAGAGCATACCGTTCCTCCTTGTTGGCAATAAGTGTGATTTGAATGATAAGCGCAAAGTGCCACTCACAGAATGCAAGGGCAGAGCACAGCAATGGGGTGTTCCGTATGTGGAGACTTCCGCCAAGACCCGGGAGAATGTCGATAAGGTAAAACACACTAATGCCACACTTCCAATCTTGGCATCTATCAACGGAACAATGCCAGAGGAAGCGGGGGAAGCCGAGGGGAAGGTATTGGGCCTGACAGTGGTGTACAACACATCTATGAATCATCGTGGTTTTTCGTGAGAATTTATCATCCATTCACTTGAAAGCTACAAAACTAAAGTGCTCAAGTACAAAGTGATAGAATTGCTAATCATTCGTGAGTCAGAGGTTCTTTTTCTCGTAAATTTATATCAAAATATATTATTGCTTATTCACAGTGTTTAGAGTTTTTTTTTTAATTGGGATTAAAACTTGAGTAATCAGCAATCGAAATACCCAGAACTTCTGATTAGAGAATAATGGGAAATGGGGTTGAAAAAGTTATGATCAGACATCATTTATCTTGAATGGTGTCTCTTGCTCAATTGTAGGACTTTGTGAGAGCTCAATAACAAAACGTACACCACTTTCAGCCAACGCCAATCCCTTGGTCGAGGTATTCTTCAGGAGAATGTCTCTTTTCTACCGCAATTCCTGCCACTTCAGGAAGATAAAATGGTAGCAAATGGCCAGTCTCGAGCGAGGAGAACCTCAAGATAAATTTGTAGATCAATTGTGCATGTCTTATGTTTGTTTTCCTGTGTTTTGCTGTACTTCTTTGTAACCATTTTATTATTATGATTGTCAATGATGAAATTGGTAAAGTCATTTGCTTGTACATTCTCTTGTTTTACAATTTTCTAATTATGTATATATCTATTGAGAGAGAGAGAGAGAAGAGATAAAGTGTGTGGAGAAATCATTTATCACAACAAAATTTTATACCCAAACCAATTTGCAGGTGTTTTTTGATCTGATGCGTGAAATTCGGTCGCGAAAAACGGAAGACTCAAAAACGACTAGTGGGCGAGCCAAAGATAAATGCAAAAGGCGGAAACTAAAGTGTACACTAATATAGATATGTAGGTGCTAAAATTCTTTTTTATTCTTCTTTTATTTTCACAGATTTCATTTGTCTTTCCATTATTATTTTTTTCTGTTTCTTTATTTTTCACTTGTGTAATCAATTCTCAAGCTTCTTATAATATCACTTGTCCAAAGATAAAGAAAAGCTCTTCAAATATCACTGCATTCACTGTTCGAAGAACAAAAAAAAAACATCATCTAAATTGCCACATCAATTTAGCAAATATAAACTTATGCTTTTCATGTTTTGTTCCCCTTCAATAACCAAGTGAAATGTTCTTCTTTTTTCTGTTTTGACTGCGCTATTTTAATTAAATTAATTGGATGACTATGTGTGCCTCTTCTTTGCCACTGCAGATCTTCAATACTCTCATCCAGGAAATTGCAACGCGAAAGAAGAGCCAGTCGGATATTCAACAGCCCGCAAAAACCAAAACTCACTGCTGCCAATTGCTATAAAGGTCGGATTTGTAGGAAGCGGGCGGAGAAAGAGGATGATGCAATGCCAGGAGTCATCATCAGAGGTCAGAAGAGAGAATTTTCACAAAACGCTGCGAGGAACACATTGCGGATGAGGACATTTGAAAATATTATCACCCACACTATTTTATTCCTTATTTTCTCTTTTATTTTTACAAATAATATATATTGTATTGTATCATTTCCTTTTCTTGGTGGCACACCAATTTCGCTAAGGATAAGTGTATATTTACTACAAAAAAAAGAGAATTGTACGTGAAGAGAATTAGGTCATTAAATTTCTTTTTTTCGACATGTTTAGAGACATAAAAAAAAGTTGATGTTGATACGAAACTAAACACGTTTCATTCTCTCTCTCTTCTAAGAGTATTAATAAATAAATGAAAGGGACGAAGAAGTAAGGAAAGAATCACGTTTGTTTTTTAGTAAGAAGATATTTATGTAATGAGTTTTAATTTTTAGAGAACAAAGGAGAAAAACCCGAGAAAAATATTACACTCTATTCTATATTTTGCATTATAATGCAAACTCTCCCTTTAAGGATATTTAAATGGAAAAAAAGAGAGAAAAGAAGAACATAAGTAAATGATGAAATATTACAAGTATAGAAGTTAGTCGATACCTATGATTAAATTTTACTCTTAATTGCTTTTCGCGTTATCAACTCCCCCCAGGATTTATACAATTTACGATTTATGAAATGCATTTATGCGCCATAAGGATTAAGCCGTGAGACAGGATGATAAATGAAAGGAATGAAATAGTTAAACCAAATGGAACAACATATAAATCTAAAATACTGTCTTTAGCATTTTTACTGTTGAAAAAGAAAACAACAAAAAATGGAACAATTTTTGAATAATGAAATTCGCAGAATTTTCTAAGCAAAATAAAGAGAAAGAAAAAATTCTCGTAAAAGTGCACATGTTTTACAGAAAGTCGCCAATTTCACACCCAGGAAAAAAGAAAACAAAACGATTCAATGTAATTGTGTGTGTAAATAAATCCAGTGTAAGAAGAGATATGAAAAATGGGGATGAAAATATAGAACAAGAATGAGGAAAAATAGTAAAGGATCTTTGCCTTCTCACCTTCAATTAGAGATAGTGAGGCTTTGGCGTTGGCACACTCTTCAGCGGTGAATCGTAGTCAATCTCCATCGCCTCGGAAGCAGCTTGAGTCTCCTGAATCGCCAGTCCAATCCTCGTCTGCAGATTTTCGTACAACTTGTGCACATTCTCGTGGTGTTGCGTCGTCGGTTGGAGCGCCTTGAGCAGCGTCTGCAGCCGCGCGGCCGGGAGTTTTGGATGGATGTACCACAGCAGCTTCAGCATGTGGCGCGTGACGTTGTCTCTGGTGAGGCGCGCGAAGAGGAACTCATCAAAGAGACCCGTGCAGAAGTCCTCGGCCGTGAACTCCTCCGCCATGGGAATGAGCAGGGCGATGAGGGAGTGCAGGAAGGGATCCTCGTACGCCCTGTCATCCTTGCAGCACGCCAGGATGGCCAGGACTCTGAGGATGCCCACGCGATCCTTCTGGCGCGCCGTGTGCAGCGTGTAGTACATGGCAAGGATGGAGGCCACCGTGCTCTCCTGAATGTACGCCTCCACAGCGTCCGGCGCCGGTCCCGAATGTTCAATAGTCGTGATGGCACTTTCACGCTCATCCGGCGGCAGACGAGCGGTCAGATGACGCACCTGGAAGTGATTCACAATAAGTCTTGATCTACAACAGTCAGCAGGAGTTTTCATCTCACTCACCTGATCGTCCACCATGAGCGACATGAGGGCGGGAAGGAATTTCGTCACCACTTGACTGTCCAGCTTGGGCTCCTTGAACTCCTGCGAGTCAATCATTACCCAAGCGCTGAGTCCCAGCGCCAGCATTCTCAGCAACAGGATCAGAATGGTGTTTTCGCGCGGCAGACCTTCGTTGTTGATGAGATGCTGCAGAATCTTGATGGCAGACGTGGCGAGGAAGTTGATGGCATAAGGATCGCACAGTGTCATGGACAGATCGCCCAACACCTGCTCCTGTCCACGCTTAATATTATCCAGGAAGCCCTGCAGCTCGCGCGATCTCTTGATGTCCACATTCTTCTCGCGAATGCACGCGTCGAGGCACCATGTGAATTTGTGGCACGGATCCACGGAAATGATGTCCTGCACCTCAAGATCGTGCAGAGCCATCAGCAGTTCCGCCCTCAAGGTGCAGTAGTGCACATTCCGCGTCCTCAGGAAGAGTGTGCGCAGGAATTGCAACACCATGTCGTACAGCTTCACGTTGTTGCCAATCATGTTGGCCAGCTTCTGAACAACTTCGCCCTGGCGACGCACCTTCGGTGAGGGCGTGAAGAAGAGATTGTTGAGGTTCATGTGGTCGAAGAGTATGTGCTCCTTCTCGCGAATGTACTGAGACAGGAGGGGCGACACCTCGTCGCCGAAGAGAGACTGATTGTCCCTCCAAATCTGCCTCTTCACCTCAGTGTCGGTGTCCTGATAGAGTTCCCTGTCCCGCACCAGCACACGCAGGTACTTGTCATCGATGTGTGGGGTGTTGCGGAGAATACACATCACGATGGGTCGCAGGGCGCGCACCCGGACCACTGGGAAGCTCTCCTTGAGGAGTTTATCGAAGATTTTGTCTCGCTCTCGTCCTTCCTTAGCGCCAAGTTTGTTTATCTCCGCCACTAGCTTGTCGCGCAGCTCCTCCAGCACAGAAGTGTGAAAATCCAGCCGCCGCACACCATGGAGATCCAATAGAGGAAGCATTGGTCGCAGTGATGGAAGTAGAATCCCTGAAAATGATTACAGAATTCAAGAGAAGCACATGAAAACAAATGCACCGCCCAACCATTTTCCAACTGAAAGTTCTCAATCGCTTTCAGAGGGTCTGTGCAGGAAGTCAGTGCATCCCTGAGATACGCCTGGCCGGGAACTTTCAGTTCCTCCAAGCCGGTGCCCACAAATTTCGGTGGATTGGTCATTATTTGGAGATTTGCACAATATTTCTACACGCACTTTTGTTTATCCGCGGCCATATACATTTGCTGTCACAGTGTTCGCCGCACGAGGCGCCGCAATCGCCGTATAACTGGCATATAACAGATTTGATGACATTCGAAGTGGACGCTTCTATTTTTTGTAAAAGCAGGATTTTTCCGTGAAAATAAGCAGAAAATCAAGTTTTTTTTGTGAAATTAGTGGACATCTGTGATCAGAAGTAATGAACACAAGACTGAGAGCAAAGAAGACGAAGGAGGAGCTGCGGAAAACCAGGAAAACATATTTCGCCGATGAGAATACGTTGAGCGATTCAAACTGGTTGGATTCTTTTGACAAATTTATTCGTGATAAAAGGTGAATTTCTGAGAAAATAACTACAAATTCTACAGTGTATTATGGAGAATTTAATTTTTAACAGGCTACAGAAGGAGCAGGATGCACCCCGACCGGCAAAAGACGTGAGGGTTTCATTTAATCGCGACAGTAGTGTTTTTGAGTCGTCCGGAAGTGTCTGGTCTCCGGCGCCACCCAAGGTCTCCAGGAAGACTTTGAGGAGGCTGAAGAGTACCGGAGATGCTATACTAGCTTCCACGCCACTAAACATGACAAGAACTGCAAGGAGAAACGGGAGAACCACAGTATTTGATGGCATTTCGCCGGTTTGTCCCACAAACGACACTCCGCTTGCTTTAGCGAGAAGTGACGTCCCTCCCAGCCCTGTTGTCTTTCCATCAGTAAATTCCCCAAGCGTGGAGATTGTGAGCGCAACAAAAATGCCATCACCAAAGAGGATTTTGGTGGAAATCCCACGAAAGTCTGTGCGGGTGAAGATCGAGATTCCAGACAAGAAACAACGAAAGACTGTGGCTTTTAAGGATGCTTCCGGCAATGATAGCTCTGTGGAGGTGGTTCAACCTCGACCGACGATTGTCTTGGCGGCTGGGAAGTGGCGGAAGTCCCTGGCAAATTGGCGCAAGAGCCAAAGGAACAATTCAAACGGGAATATCTCAGGAAATACGAGTGCTATTCGTCCAGGACATCGCCGAAAGACCGTCTGGATAGCGGACTCAATTGTGAGTACATCGAAGAGAGTGTTATTTCCTAGAATATTTAGTAATTTTCCCCTTTTTTCGTGTATTTTTCAGGAAGAGGAAAATAGCGGTAAGTTCGCTGTAATTCTAGCAGTTCAAATCACACCTGCGGCTTCGGATGTTTTCGGGTGGGTTTTGTGGCGCTGCAGTCGTGAGATCTGCGCGAATAAGAAGAAGAAGGAGGCGTCAGTGTCCATTTTCTTTGGTAGTCCCCCCTTTTTTCCAAGTTAGATTTCACAAAGAAATTCGCGGTGAAAACGTGAAAAATCAAGCTGCGAAGAGACTTTTCCGCATCACAAGTGCGCCTTGCGACTTTTAGTTTTGTTATCTTTGTGTTAATTAGCCGCGAGGAGGCCTTCTGACGTGCGCGTCGCTCGAAGATAATTGGCCAGAGTGCAAAAACCACAAAGAGTCAGACGGAATTCAAGGAAAAATATTACCCTCGGCAGTTGTGTGAAATCTCACATTGAGTCTAGTTGAGTGCCAGCCGTCGTTTGCATTTCCCGCAGAGTTTTCACATAGTCGCGAGGACAGAGAAATTGGCTGTTTTTCCCAGCACTCGTGACGTCACGTGTGGCTTGATTTCATAATTGAAACTCGTCTCTCGGGAGGCTTTGTGTTGGGGCGCCTTTGTTGGGCGAAAGTGGACTCTTCTGTAACTGCACTCCAGTTTATCTGTGCATCTCTTTGTTCCAAGGAAACTAGCCGTACATCAAAAGTGTGCATGCATCTTAATCTCGTGGAAGAAGGTAAATTGTGCGCCCCCAAAAGACTGTGTGTGAGTCATGGAGATTTCCACTCTTCCGGGTCTCTCAAGAGAAGCGATATTGCAGTGGAAAATCTACACAAAATCCCTTTCTCTCTCTCTCTTTCTATCTGCATTTCATGACATACACACATGAACACGCGTCCACACAAGCGCAAAGGCAACAGTGTGTGTGTGGAGAAAAAAAAATGTAAAATAATTACACACGCCATTCGCTCTTGTTTGCATCTCTTTTGCACCAATATTCTCCTTCTCAGCCTGTGTGTTTCGTCACAAGTTTTACTTTACACGATGATTCTGAGACGTAGAAGTGGTAAAATTACCCAAACAGACCGCAAGAGCGAGAGAGAAGGGGAGAATTGTGTGATTTCAATGATTCATGTCAAAAAATGTGTGATTCCTCGTCTGATGACGCCAAACGTTGATATATTCGGGCGATGTTATCAAGGCAATCTGACAGGGAACTGATTCCCACTGAAGAAGAAAAAAAAAATGTATTGGCAAGAGTGGTAAATTTGGATCTTTTCAAGTATTGCGCAAAAGTGATTTAAAGCACTTTCCTTTTTAAAATCACAGTAGAAATCGCTTGCAATTAAGTTCACTTGCGGAAAGTAAAGTGAAACTCTCTAAATTTTCAAGTTGATACAGAAATCTTGAATACTAGAATGATTTGTTGATAAATTTGACACTTTGAAAAAATGTTCAGTCAGCTGATTTTGATCTGAAGAATATTAACTTAAGAACCAGATTGATAATCTCAAAATTGATTTTGAGGCACAACATTTTCCTTCTTTATCTTATTAAGTTATTGAATCTTCCTTCGTTGGAAAATCTTTGCTTTTTAAACTATATTTCTGAAGATGAAATTTGAGTATTTCTATAGATATTGACTGAATGAAGAAAACCTTTTTGTTTTATAGTCGTCTTATTTTGTTTTATAACTCTGTTTTGTCAGTTAAGATTACGCGAAATGCTTTGCTTTTCTCTTTCCTTACAATATCTTCTTGCGCATATAATTTTCCTTTGAGGTTTTCAGACAGAGTTTTACTATGAACTCAAGTACAAAATGTAATATATTTCATAACACACACAAGAGCTGAAGTTTAGTGTTTTCTCCTCCAGAATGTAATCCGGGAGTTATTTACTCTCAAGACTTGTAATCTTGAAGAGTGATAGCCTCTCAAGTTGAGAGATTAGACTGTTTTTTTATTGTGTTCCGCATTTTTTGAGCTGTATGTAAATTTTGGAGGATGATCTTGATAGGAGGAATCTTATCAGTGTGTTTGGAGGGAAAATATTCAGGCATTCTGTGTGCAAATTTAATTGTGCATATATTGCGCATTATCTTGCCTTTCTATACATTTTTGTGTAATGCAAGAGAGAAGAACTGTTGGGGAATTCTTCTGCCACATAACATCGACACGATAGCGTTGTTATCTCCGATCAGCGAACATGTGAGCTCTCAGCGAGTGTCTTGAGAGTGTTGGGGTTTCTGTGGCGATGCCCACACGAGAGACAGAGAGGGAGCATTTATTTAGAGGATGTCTAATGGGACAATGTTAGATTTTCTCTTATCGGCATGTTTTGTGCCTGTGCGTATGCGCAAAGTTCTCGGTTTTGTTGGGGACACTGAGAACCGTGACCCTATTCGAGAGTGGCGCGCACATGAGTGGGTTAAGGACTGACTGTAAAGTTGTGTTTTCTCTCTTGCAGCAATTCTTGTGCCACAATCAGATGACGAGACATACCAATCAACAGAAGGAAGTCGAGACATCAGGCCAAGTCGTCACTTTTCCATTAGTCGAAGCTTGTCTGCCGTCGACAGTGGCAAATTGTCCTTTGATGAGTCGTCCAGCCGAAAGCAATTTCGCCGGCAGACTCACTCAATTCTACGCTATCGACGCACCAGCAGTGTCCGTGAAGAGGTTGGCTCGTATATAAACGGTGACCTCACACACCGGGGACTCGTATTGCGCTACTGCGGTCAGTCTGAGCCGTTGGACTTCAATGAGGTGTACTCGGAGAGGTGAGAAGACGCTTGTGGTGTTTTCTTTTGCGGAGGAACTCATGGCTTTCTATTTGCCTTGTCTTGCAGTGTCCTGAGGAATTGTCGCAAGGTCGGCGAGGGTGTGTACAGTGAGGTGTTCATGTTCAAGGACCTCCATGGGCGTCCAATTGTGCTGAAGGTGATTCCCATTGAGGGTGACAAGCTGGTGAATGGTGAGGTGCAGAAGCGCTTCGAGGAGATCATCTCGGAGATTGTCATCACGGCGGAGTTGAGCAAATTGAAGAATGGTCAGGAATATCGAACGGCAGGATTTGTGGATTTGGTCAATGTGAGATGCGTCCAGGGAAGCTATCCTGAACATCTGGTGGATCTCTGGGAGTTGTATCGCGACAACCAAGGCACAGATAACGATCATCCGGAGATTTTTGACCACGATCAGCTGTACATTGTGCTTGAGTTGGGCAACGGTGGACAGGATTTGGAGGCGTTCAACTTCAAGAATGCCCTCGAAGCCTATTCTGCATTCATTCAGGTGACTACAAAGCTTTCATGTTGTACACTTTGTGTGCTTTTTTTCGGCATAAGAATTCATTCCATATTATTTTTTTTGTGTGCTTTGTTGCCTCACCTTGAGTTATCATGGTGGATGGGTGCATTTCTAGTGCATATATTGACATAAGATTATGACTAGATTTACACTCATCCTCTGTGAAATTCACAATACATTCACCCAATATTTGTTTTGTCCCCTAATTTGCCTATTTTTTGCAGTTTTTCGACATCCATTTTTTATTTTTGTGCTTTATTTTTCATCATATTTTTTATTTGGAAGCTTATTTGTTCCGTCAGTCGATGTAGTGAATCTCTGGTACGTGGTTTTGAAGTGAAGAACATGACTAGATTTTCACTCATCTATTGCCGGAATGTCTGTCTTTCGTCATTTTTATTATTTTGGTGGTGAGTTTTATTATGATTTATTCAGTCATCTTTGTTTTTTGCATCAATTGATAAGTGTTTATCCGCCTCACGAGCGTGTGTGTGTGTGTGTTTGCCCAAGAAGAGAGACTATGAAAGTGTAACGATGTTTCTTTGCCACTCAGGTCGCCCTTTCGCTAGCTGTTGCCGAGCAGAAGTACGAGTTTGAGCATCGGGATCTTCACTGGGGAAACATTTTGCTGTCCAAGACAGACGACAAGGAGATTGAGTTTCTCTTCAATGGTGAGATAATTGCCATTCCGTCGCACGGCGTTCGTGTCACGATCATTGACTACACGCTGTCGCGAATGGTGTACGCTGGCCAATGTCAGTACAACGATCTCGCCCAGGACGAGGAACTGTTCTCAGCCAGTGGTGATTATCAATTCGACATTTACCGCTTGATGCGCAACCAAGTGGAGAATCAGTGGGAGAAACACGATGCATTCAACAATGTCCTGTGGCTGCACTATCTCGTGGATAAGATGATCAATGGCGCCAAGTACAAGTTGAAGCATAGCAAGAAGCATCGTGATGCCATTGAGGAGATGATGGTGCTCCGTGATGACCTGTTGGACTTCAAAAGTGCCTCAGATTATGCGCAAATGCTGAAGTGAGAAAGAGAGAGATAGAGCATATCCCAATCCTTGTAAATTATATATCTTTGAAGTGGATTTTCTAGAGTGCAGACATGGAGAGTAATGAATTTATTTGTGTAGAATGTTCGAAGAGTAGAAGCGTCACAAGTCATGTGAATTTATTTCTTGACACTTTGTTTGAAATGAGCAGAATTTACTTCGAGATAGCAATAAAAAAAAAATGTTCCGATATCGCAATTTACGCTTTTTATTGTGAAGAGCAGAAAGAGTTGAAGAAAATGATTCGAACAAAGCATGGTAAGTTTTATCATGAGAACGCGCCATCTGTAAGCAGTGGCCGGTAAAGATTCCAGGTAATGGATTGAAAATTTCAGTTTCGTCCTTCCATTTCAACCTCAAATTCAATGATTGAGTACTCTTCTATAGTTGAAGTTATAGAGACTGTTTTAGCTCACAAATAAATCTGATAAACAGTTGATAAAAGACAACTTGAGGCTCTGCGATAATTTCCCTTTTGTTTCATGGAAGTGAAATGTTTCATGAAATATTCCACTCCTCACTTCCAGTGAATCTTCCAACCCCCCAATCTGTCAGACGGAAAATTTTCACTACAACAAATTTTCCCAATTATCAGCGAATTTTGACCCAATTTCACTTTCCTCGTGCGTCAGAGACCACGTAAATGTGTCACTAGTGCGAGGGTGAGTGCAATTGGCCTGCTTGAGGCGGCTGACAGGGGAGAATTGGTGGATTCAAGTGGAGTTCTTTCTCAATTTCCAGATGTTTGGTGGACCCCTTCTGCTGACCTCTGTGTCTGGGGCGCGTCTGTAGGGCGACGCGATGTGCTGCTGAGTGAGACAATGGGTGGCTCCGTGAGTCAAGTGTTCAGGTCCGGGAGTGCCAGAGATGGGCACAAAGTGTCCGGATCCACTATTGACAAGGTGCAGACGATCTTTGAGATTCTCTGCTCCAATCCCCGCATCTCAATCCACACGCTGGAGGCCCTCCTGGTGCAGATACCAAAAGTGAGTGTGCTTTCCGCAAGATGAGCTCCTGTGCAAATCCAATCCTTTCACAGAATGAGAACATCCTGGCCATTCATGATGACTCGGGGTACAATTTGCTGCAGAAGAGTGTGGCCATAAATCACATCGAGCTGGTTCGCTGGCTCCTCCAGAGACACTGCCCAGACGTCAACCGATGTCCCTGCTCCCTGCCACTGCACATTGCCTGTCTCAAGGGACATGAGGAGTGCGTGGAGCTGCTCCTCAAGCACGGTGCTCGCATCGACACCGAGGCCCGCATGTGCTTCCCCGGACTGCACTCGCTGAACTGCGAGGAGCGCGGAAAGTACAAGAGTACGTAGCTGAGAGTCTCCTCCCTGTCTAGGTGTCTATCAATGAGTTCTTCCTTGGCAGATGTGGCAGTCTGTGATCGGCCCAGCAGCAAACTGCAGAATGCTGTGTGCTACGCAATCGACGGGGATCAGATAAATGTTCTCAACATCCTGGCGCAGAAGATGGAGGAACCCTGGGTGAGACTCTGGGGAGACCCTCTGTCCTGGGAGAGTGTCCTAATTGGGGGATTAACCAGGGATCTCTCTGCAATAACTTCCAGATACCGTTTCGCGTGAAGAAGCCTCTGCTGCATCTGGCCTGCGAGCGTGGCGCCTGGAAGTGCGTCCAGCAGCTAGTCATAACGCGTTCTGACGAGATTAACCTCATCAAAGATGAGTACTATCCCATCCACCAGGCCATCCTGCACGACACGAGATTCCTGGAGCTTCTCATCCAGCACGGCGCGATCACGACGGTGCGGACTTGCACGCAGCAGATGACTTTGCTTCACGTCGGTGAGTATTCAGGTGGGTTTCAGGGGAATTTCAGGCATAACTTTGCCTTTTTTTCAGTTCTCCTGCACGCTAGGAAGTCCGCTGAGGATGTTCTGCACACACTGCGAATTTTACTGGAGCGTGGCGGCTGCAAAGAGCTGATCAACGCTCCGGATTCCCTGGGGAACACTCCACTGCACGCCGTCATCGTGCGCTACGCCCTCGAGGAGGCCAAGTACGGGTATGACAAGTGGAATAAGTGGGACGTGCTGCACCTGGTGCGCTTCCTGCTGCAGAACGGCGCCAAGAGTTCCATCAATCAGGCGGGAAACAGTGCTCTGGCGTGCGTGTTCCGCCACATTCGCGACTGGGAAGTGTGCTATGAGTTGCTTAACATGATGATTAAGGAGGACGGTGATCCCAACATTGTGGGCAGGGATGGTTCGGTGCCGTTGATGGTGTGTCTTGTGCCGCTGATCAACAAGGATCCGCTGCATCACTTCACGCACACGATGAAGGTGTGCTTCCTGAACTGCATTCGCATTCTGCTGGAGCGCGGCGCAAATCCCAACTGCTCGTATCGGTCCAATCTCACACCACTTCATGTTCTCATTTTCACGGTGAGTGAGAATTTCACGCTGAACTGCGACACGCAGAAGAGGGCCAATTTTGACTTCATCAAGAACATCCTGCAATTGCTGCTGCAGCACGGACTGGACTGCAACGTGACGTCGCAGACGATTCTGCACAGCGTGATGGATATGGTGCAGAATGTGCGCACGTGTCCGGACATGGCGTGCATCCACGAGCTGACGCTGCTGCTGCTGCAGTACGGCAATGATCCCAACATCAATCTGTGCGGCAAGGTGACCGGGACGCCGGCCGAGGTGGTGAGGGCGGAGGGCAGCGAGGATAGTGCGCCGCAGGAGGCCAATCCGCCGCCCGGTGCGAGCGTCAGTCGGTCCAATGAGCCCTTCCGGAACTCCTTCCGCACCAACAGCCGCAACTACATTCTCTTCTACTTCATCTCGCTGATCACGAAGAAGGAGTTCCTGCTGACGGACAGGGACGCCACGTACACGCGCATCATCCACCTGCTCTACTACTCAATGCAACACGAGCCTCTCTACAACTGCCTGAAGAGCCTTCACAATCTCTACCTGACGCAGGTGCCCAACAAGACGACCGAGAGCCTCATCAGCCTGATCGCGGTGCTGTACAAGAGGCCGCGCACGCTCAAGCAGATGTGCCGCGTGAGGATCTTCGAGAGCATCAACAGGAAGCTCGCCCAGAATATTAACAGACTGAATCTGCCAGGACTTCTCAAGGACTACGTTCTAAATTTCGAATCCTAAGTTCTCTATCTCTATTTCTCTCTCTCTCTCCCACCTGCTGATTGAGGACACCAGAGAAGGAAGAGGAACTTGCTAGAGGAGATGTTTATTGTGCAATTACCGCGTGAGAGGATGCAAATCATTTTAATTCGGTGTGAAATTTACACGAATTCTTCAGGTTTATCTGATCAAAATTAAGTGAATCTGTATGGTCATGTATTAATTTGCAATATATTCAAATATATACATGAATTTATGTTAACTCCTCTAGCTTAACTTGCTCACGATGACGTCGTGGAACTTCCTCACCATTTCCTCGAAGTTCGAGAAGCCGGACAGAGCGATGGCCTCGTCTTTCGGCAGCCACTTCCTTGCCACGTGCTCGTCGGAGAGCTCAGGCTCCTTCTGGGGATTCTCCAGCTCCGCCAGCCAGTAAATTACCCTCTTGTCGTTCCCCTTGACTTGATAATGCATCTCATGGAAGTGATCCTTGTAGACTTTCAGATCAGCCTCGGAATATCCCGCCTCTTCTTTGGTCTCTCGCAGCGCCGCCTCGAATTCCGTCTCTCCAGCCTCCAGATGCCCTGCGAATCCATCAGCAGATGGCAATTAGAGGGAGAAATGCGTGCAATTGAGAGATTTTCTCACCCTTCGGAGGAGTCCAGTGGCCGGTGCCATAAGACGCTTGCAGCAGTAAATACTGGATCTGATCGCTAAGACGGCGGAAGAGGAGGAAACCAGCAGCCACTTCCTTGCCCATCGCGTCCAATGAACTATTTAATTCACTTTTCAGTGGTTAATTCCGTGAAGAATACTTGCCAAGAAAAATATTCTGCCCGGATATCAAAGTCAAACAGTCAAAAGTGAACAGAGCCGAACTCTGAAGACATGTATGCGGATTTGTCTGCTCTGTCTGTAGATACTTCCATCGTCTTGCTAACTGCTGCGCTATTTGGATTTACGTGCAAAGCGCGAGTGGGAAAATCCTGTGATGTCGTCGGAAAAACGCGATAGAATTTTCCGACCATCGGCCTCAGCGCCAGCATTTGGAAGTCAGAAAACTTCCACGCCGAATCCGTCCGTGTGGTTTCGCCGAAGGGTAAGTAGATAAAAAGTTATACGTGTCCGCTTAGGGAAGGGAAGTAAACAATCCGAATTTGTGGTGATTAGATGGTGAGGGCAGTGTTTGCTTCGCTGCTACTTGTCCTGGGGATTCTCAAGGATCTGTTTTGCTTGCAGGCGCGCCAGCGGAAGGCGTCTAGTCAGTCGCATCAGAGCAAGACTGGTGACTCGTCGTCGCACGTGAGGAATGGGAATAGCAGCAGCAGCGGCACCAGTGCCGCCCAGGCGAGACAGGCAAATGGGCAGCTGAAGAAGCGTGTCCTCCTGTCGCCCTGGATGATGATCATCGGCAGCTGCTGCCTCGGCATCGCGTGCTACTTTGGATACGTCGGATACTTGGAAACGCGCGTCAATACGCCTTTCGATGACCAGAAGATGGTCCGACGGAGCGGCCTCAGTGATCCAGACCGCTACTGGGGCTCCTACCGGCCGGGCACGTACTTCGGGATGAAGACTCGCGACCCGCACTCCCTCGTCATGGGCCTGATGTGGTACTCGCCGTCGCGACTCGGTCCCGGCGGCGATGGCATTCGGCACTGGTGCGAGCTGAGCGACCGGATGGACCAGTACGGGTGGGTTCAGCACGACGGCAGGACGTTCGGGGTGCAGGAGATACACGACGGGCCGCTGAAGCTGGAGACGTCGTTCGTGAAGTACTCCGGAGGATCCTTCGGGGGCGACTGGACGGCCAGGGTGAGCGTGGCGAGTGAAAGCATGCACTCGGAGGAGGAGGTGTCAATTATCTGGTATACGGCGCTGGACGAGAAGACTGGCGGATGGATTACGCCCGACCGCACGGACCTCTTGGCGGGAATTCGGGGAGACACACCAGGATTGGGGGAGTTTTCCCTGTCTCTGCACGAGACGAATGGCACTGTTCTTCACAAATCCTACGTGAGCACAGTGGCAATGAGTCTTCAGTACCTTCGCGAGGCAATCACGTCGAACCTGAGGATTTCCCACAGTCACGAGCTGCAGAGGAAGTTCATCAGTCTCGCCGGAGAGGTTCTCAGGACAAACACGGGATCTGTGGTAAGGATAATACAGCATAAATTGAGTTGTTCCACTTGAGAGTGTGTGATTTTCCAGGTGGAGCCCAATTTCATTGCTCATCAGCTGACTGTGAGGCTTCCCTTCACCCTGGACATCGTTTATCACTCTGAGGAGATGCCTAGTCAGGCCTTGGGTGGGCCACCAGTGGGTGAAGTGTACCTGGAGGCTCTGAATGCCAAACGCCGGGAGTTCAGTGAGAGATTCGAGAAGACGTTTCACTTGCAGAACAAGGGATATTCTGCCAAGGAGATTCGCTTCGCTGAGGCAGCTTTGAGCAACATGTTAGGCGGAATTGGATACTTCTACGGATCGTCACGCGTGCAGAGTGTCCACACCAAGGAGCCCGTGCCCTACTGGAAGGCGCCACTCTACACGGCTGTGCCTTCGCGGTCGTTCTTCCCGCGTGGCTTCCTCTGGGATGAGGGCTTTCACGGACTCCTGATTTCCACGTGGGACGTTGACATCTCCATTGACATTGTGGCTCACTGGTTTTCCCTCATGAATGTGGAGGGATGGATCCCGAGGGAGCAGATCCTCGGAGTTGAGGCTCTGGCCAAAGTGCCTGAAGAGTTTGTCACGCAGAGGAACACTGATGCCAATCCGCCGACAATTCTGTTGCTGCTCAACCGCATCCTCACACGATCGGGAAACAATCTCAACACGAAGGAGCGTCTGGCCACCCTGGATCGTCTCTTCCCACGCCTGCAGGCCTGGTTCACGTGGTTCAACACTACGCAGCGCGGAGACTCCATGGGAACGTACAGGTGGCGCGGCCGGACGGAGAATTCGGTGAGAGAGCTCAATCCAAAGACCCTGACAAGTGGCCTGGATGACTATCCGCGAGCCTCGCATCCCAGTGATAGGGAGCGTCACGTGGACTTGCGGTGCTGGATTGCCTTTGCCGCTAAAGTGATGGGCGACTTGGCGCGGCTGGTGGGCAGAGATGACACCAAGTATCTGGAAACGTACTTCTATCTCTCGGACAATGCCCTGCTCAATGAACACCACCTGTCGCCTTACACGGAGACCTACACCGATTGGGGCCTCCACACGGACTCAGTGGTGCTCAAGAGGCCCCCCGTGAAGCCCGCCGCCCACGGGAAGCCGCCGCAGCAGCAAGAGATGGTGAGAGTGACCAACAAGGCGCCGGAACTGAGGTACATCGACTCCACGTTCGGATACGTGAGCCTCTTCCCACTCCTGCTCGAGATCCTCACCGCCGACTCGCCTTATCTGGGGAAGATGCTCAAGGACATGCGAGATCCCAACGGAATGTGGTCGGACTACGGCCTCAGGAGCCTCTCTAAGATGTCACCGCTGTACATGAAGAGGAACACCGAGCACGATCCGCCCTACTGGCGCGGCGCCGTGTGGATGAACATCAACTACCTGGCCCTCAAGGCGCTCCACCACTACGGCAGCCAGCCGGGGCCGCACAGCGAGCTGGCCAGGAGCGTCTATGTGGAGCTGAGGCACAATCTGGTCAGCAATGTGATCAAGCAGTATCAGCGCTCTGGATATCTGTGGGAGCAGTACAGTGATAAGACGGGCGAGGGATCGGGATGCTATCCGTTCACAGGATGGAGCGCTCTCACGGTCCTCATCATGGCAGAGCAATACTAAGAGACTCGGAATTATAGTTCGTTTTCCCTTCTGTGAATAAAAATTGCGCTACTCGCTTGCGTACTGGACAATTAGTGAGTGGTTCGAGATAGACATTCAAATTTACAGTCTTCAGGAGCGTTTATTTGTGTTTTTGTAGAAAAATTAAAGTGATTTCTGGCATTTAAACTCTAAAACTGGATTTTAATTCTCTTAGTTCGCATGAAAGAATGATCGTTGAATGGAGCCAAAAAGCTTCAAATTGCGTCGAGTGTGTGCTGTGAAACGCACATGAATCGGCCGCGAAACGTGAAACATAAACATCTTTTCGGGCAAATCTTCGGCGGATTCTTGCAGTTTCGCACACAATTCGGCTGTCATCGCGCGGCAGCAGCGCCCATAGCGACAGAAGTTGTAAGCAGTTGGGAATCTTTGTGTAAAAAAACTACGTTTCTTCATTTTCTACCACTCAAAAGTCCATCAATATTACTGTGGTTGATCCAAAAAGGTATTCCAGCGCAACATCTGACCATCCTGAGTGATCATCGACGGAAATCCAGCATCATTGACCTGTTCACGAGCTGAAAAAGGTAATTTTCACTCAGGTGATTTTCACTCGAATCGACTGATCGGAGGCGAAATGAAGTCACATCTCGCCTCCATTTGGACCCACTTGGAGCCCCTCGGGGGCCTTTTGCACGCTGTGTCGCTCAGTGCGGGGCGTCTGGGGAGGAATTTGGTGGCGCTGGAAGGTAATGCGTCATCTAATTGTGACTGCAAGTGTGGAAAGATTTCGATGGTCGCTCCCAGAACGTCACACACACACACTCGCACGCGCGAGGAGGGAGAAAACGGAGAGATTACGCCCCGTTGATTGGAAGAAATTGCTGGATTCCGCCCGATGCGGCCGCCGGAAGGGCTCCTGGCCGGCCCAGGGCAGTCCTGGCGACACTTCAAGACACCGAGACGCCCCGCTGGGGTGTGAAAATGCGCGTCATTGGTGACACTTGACGTCAAACGGTACTTTGGCATGTTTATCAGTGGAATTCACTGGAATTCTCTGGCCGGATTAAATGGTGACTTCCTGTAGGGCTTCATCTATTTCTGGGACCTTTGTCGCGTGTGCAGCGCGCCCTGAGGAATGCCAGCAGAGCTGGTCAATTGACGAGAGCGCGGAGCTTCCCGCATAAACTCGTGAATCTCTCAAGGTCTCCGCATGATAAAGAGCCACTCTCAATTCCTCCCCGTCCTCGCCACGCTGCCGAGCCGGACTGAGATTCATTATCAGTGATTTTTTGCAGGCGCTTCTGTGTGTGCAGAGACAAAGCCTCACGCGCGTCCGTGTGTTGGGGAGGAACAAAGGCGCGCGGAGAGAGGGATGACAATTAGGTGGGAAGCCGAGAGGAATCACGGCCAGAGATCAATTGCCGGGCAGCGCGAAATGGGCCGGAGAATCAATGTGGGCCGCGGTCAAGGCTTGCGTGCGATGAGTCAGTGTCAGGAAGGGAAGCCCGGCGGATCCATTGACCTTTGGGCCACACGAGGAGTCTCAGTGTGTGTGCGCGCGCCTCTCTTCTCGAGGCCGCGGAGCGAGTTTGGGAAATTGAGGGAAATTCCTCAGCTTCCTCGCTGAATTTTCACTGCCTCTGTCACACGATAAAATGTGCGAGTTTTTCTGCACTGTAAGAAACTGATGCAGGGCAAAGAGTGCCAAGCATTGGTAAAAGTTCGCAAAGAAATCATCGTTTTCTGAATGTTTTTCTCTCGAAATCCAATTGGAATACAAAAGAAAAAGCCCAATCTGTCAAAGAGCCTATAGAGACTATTCTTATAACTCAATTATACTCTATTTTGATTTTTTCTGTATTGCCAACAATCAATTATATCGGTTTGGAGTTGAAAAAATCGCATGTCAGCCTTATAAAAAAGTGAGATGGCTAAAAAACGAGAAAATTAGTCATAATGTCAGTTTGGCAAATCGTGTGACCGACTTTTCACATTCTGACACTTGTACTGATGGATTTACCACATTTAACCAAATTTTACCGCAAAAGCTTGTGATTTGTAACAATGTGAAAGTAATTTGCAAGTGTCTGGATATTACGAGACAGTTAAATCTATAAATTTTCCGACAATTTAATCAGTCGACATTGTTTTGGTTTTACTTCTACAGCAGACATTCCAATGAATATTAATTATGCTCGCTCATAAAAAGCTTTCCCAATCTTATCTGTGGCATTTGAAATTTGCATAAGAAGCTCGCATTTGCCACTCATTCTCTTCCCGAATTCATTGAACATCCCTTGGTTGGTATTTAAGGCATTGTCTGCGCAATTGTGTGGAGTCTATTTGGCAAACAAAGCGACACACAGTGTTATTTACACTCTTTGTGATTAAACACTTTGTGGACTTCAATGTTGTGAATATCACAAGAGTGAAATGAAGATGGTTTTAGATTGTATCTTCTAGTGAGTAGTAGTAGTAGTAGTAAGAAAAAAAATGTATAATTGATTGTGAAAAGGCGTCCGAAGAGTGCGAAATTCGATGAAACGTGAATGTTGGTCTTTATCTTGTGTGACGTATTCTTTGAGTCACACATTTTTCAATGTGAATTTGCTTTATGTCTGTGAAGGAGGAAAATAACGCATATCTGTTGTGTTTATCCGCTTCCGTAGGTCATCTGACGTAGGCAAGACAAGAAGCGCGCAGGAAAGATGGCAACAACACCTCGAGGTGGCGGAGCGACGGCACAGCGCCCCAATGGAGCCACTCAGGGCAGAATATGCCAATTCAAGCTGGTGCTGCTCGGCGAATCGGCGGTGGGCAAGTCGTCGCTGGTGCTGCGCTTTGTCAAGGGACAATTCCATGAGTACCAGGAGAGCACGATTGGGGCGGCATTTCTCACACAGACCGTCTGCATTGATGAGACCACTGTGAAGTTTGAAATTTGGGACACTGCTGGCCAGGAGAGGTGAGAGAATGTGCAAGGAAGATGCGAGAGCGTGCCTGAGAATTAATTCCTGCTCTCTATTTGCTCTTGTGCCTTTGCAGATATCACAGTTTAGCGCCCATGTATTATCGCGGTGCCCAAGCGGCAATTGTAGTTTATGACATTCAGAATCAGGACAGTTTTCAGCGGGCGAAGACTTGGGTTAAGGAACTTCAGCGACAGGTAAATAATAAATCTCTTTCCCATCAGAGAGACGGAGAGAGAGAGAGAGAGAGAGAGAGAAATTTATGAGTTGCCAAGTGGAGAAGATATTGCAATCCTCTTGTGAAGCGAAAATCTCTTTTCGTGCCTCGAAACACGAAAGAGTTTTGGTTCCATTTTATCAGATGGAGAAAAAAAATGAGACGGAAGTGTATACAAGAAGATTGCATTAAACACCTCGAGTTTTAGTGCTGAGACTGATGCTATTCTTATTATGCACTGCACGCGGAAAATTTTGAGTGCTGAATCGTTAGTTTTCTCATATGTTTGATGTAAATATTTAGAGAGAGAGAGAATATCACTGATTGAAGCGCGAAAGCAAAATTCACTCCAATTAGCTCACGAGGAAGTGATTCAAATCAAATATCAGTTTTCAGCTCTATCTCTATCGATAATAATTTTTGATTCATTATAAAGAGTTTTTTTTTGTGACATTTTGCGCATTAATTTCGCTTGAGAAATTAGAAAAGTTTTCTGATTCCTGAATAATGAAGGCGACTATTTGTTTACGAATGGTTAAATTCTTCTCTGCTGATTTCTAACATCCGCAGAGAGGAGGAAGATATGTTGCAGAACGCCTTACATAACTTATTTTTGTATGAAATATTAATTTTGAAGAGAGAAAGTTTAAGAAGAACTGACGAAATGTGTGAAATAAGTCAAATTTTGCGCATTTTGGTAAATATAATGCGGTTTTTACATAACTAAAAGCTTGTTGTGTGTTTTGTGTGTATGTTTCAGGCGTCACCAAATATCGTAATAGCTTTGGCTGGAAACAAGGCTGATCTATCCAACAGTCGAGTTGTTGAGTACGAGGAGGCGAAACAGTATGCTGACGAGAATGGATTGCTCTTCATGGAGACGTCCGCCAAGACGGCGATGAATGTGAATGATATATTTCTGGCCATTGGTATGTTACTGAATGCAGACTTGCGTTGGTGTTGTGAATTGATAAGAGAAATTATCGCTGTTTGCTTGCTTGCAGCCAAGAAACTCCCCAAAAATGAAGGAGCTGGACCGCAAGCTGGTGGACAAGGTCGGAGATTAGAACAGAATGAACAAAGCAGACAGTCGTCTAACTGCTGCAAGTGATGTCATTTTGCAGGTGAGTTTAATGTGGTTCTCACTGGATTACTATCGAGTTGTTATTTGTTGTTTGTTTGGATTGCATTGTAGATATTATGGAGGACAGAATTTTGGGTATTTTAAAAACTACACACGAACAACAGCAGCAGCTAATGAATCTACAACTACTTCAGAATATATTTCTTATAGTGTGTTTTGGATGGGACCGAAAGACAAAGCTTGTGGCGGTTCAATAAGGCGGGAGAGAGATCAAATTGATATATAATTTTTCTAATTCAGTGGTGAAAAGAGGGGAAAGTGTGTATAATTATGTTGTGTAGATTTCTTGGACATCCAACACACAGTGAAATTCATGTACAGATTTTGGCTTTTGCATAGGGATTTAATAGGAATGTTTCTATGCGTAGAAAATCTCTTTTATTTACTCACAATATTCTTAGCATGTTCTTTTGAAATGGCCACAGATGAAAAAGAAAAAGTTGTATAAAGAGGATGTCAAGATTAAGGGTTTTCTCGGTTTATTTCTTCTCACTGTGTCGATGTTTGAAAAGGAGTTGAAAGATAAACTGTGTCTGTTTTTAATGTACTCAAAAGAGAGTGTGAGAGAGAGAGAGAGAGTAATAATATGATTTTGTACAATAACACCTTCAAATGATTCATGGAATTTTTTATTGTCTATCAGAGAAGCAAGAGTTTGAAATAGCATTGATGAGAAATTAGATTGATAGAATTGATATAAAAAAAAGAACATTATAAGACACATTCCAAACATTATGCTGTTGCTGTTTGCAGTTGAAATTTTACTGAAAGTAATGGTGAAGAAAAATAGCAAAGAAGAATCATACAACAGAAAACCTAATAAGAAGATGCAAAAAATGTTAATGTGAAAATGATTGAAAAATTATCTATACTATAGATTATTTTCCGGGACGTTTCACAAACACACACACACACACCCACACACGCAGAGAAAATAGACACACATACAGTAAATTGTGAACTCATACTACACATTATTATTACCTTGTTTTTTTGCCTCTTATTGTTTCTTTCAATTACGAAGCAAAGTGTGTCGCAATTCATTTACGACGTCTCTTCATAGGTGAGAAATAAATCCATTTGCAATTGTGTATTGAGTGGTTTTCTTTGGCAAAAAGGAAACTATCTAGATGGAGTGTCGAGGGTCGAGGGCAATGTAAGCATGGAATTATTGAATTGAATGCAAGGAAAACGCCAGAGTGATAATGAATGATTTAAAAAAAGTAAAACTAAGACAAAAATGCAATTGCATGTAATTAATTCTTACTAGGGGAAAATGAGCGGAGATTCTTGAATTCTTGGGATAAAAATTATACAGATTATTAGTTGAAGATTAGCGGAAAAGTGACAGTCATCGAGATAAATTGGATAATGGAATTATAAAAATGAGAGAAAAAAAAGTATTCGATCAATAAATGTGAAGACAAGACAAAAAAAAGGAGAAAACAAAAGTTGAAAAAAAATCTTTGTAATAAGCGAGAAAATTTAATTAGAAAATAAAATTTTATATATAAAAAAAAGAAGAATTATGAGAAAAGATGAAAAATATTCCTACTTTTAAAAGAATATTGCAAAATGAGAAATGCATTAAATGTAATAATTAAAAAGATTATAATCCAGAGAGAAGGGAGAAATTTGGTGTTTATTCTTTGTTTTTTCTTTTTCTTTTGTATAAATTTATTCCTAGATTCAGAGATTAATTGTCTCTGAAGAAAACACTTGTTACAAATTATCATTTTATTTAGTCTTTTTCCTTTTTGTCAAATATATATATTGAAGACGAAAAAAAATCAAATAAATTTGTCAGCTTCATCAAATTTCATGCACTTTGATTTTACAAATGCATTTTTATACCCAACTTTCCTCCAAAAAATATTACATGTATAATCCTTAAATGGTGAAAAATGCAATTTTTGTCACATCAATCACTTTTTCACACAATTTTTGGGTCGCGCGAAAAGGAAATTTTGAGGCAAAATTGTTAATTATTCGAGCAGAAACTGATGAAAAGAGCTAAAAATTATTGGGCTTATTGTTGTCTAACACGAGTGAAAAAAAGAGAAGAATTGGGAGTCAAAACAATAAAAAAAAATTCATACCCGAAAAACAATCATGATATCAAGCAGTGTATAAAATTAAGTTTTTTCAGCGAAAGAGGAAGAAATCTGTAAATTTTCACAATATATTATTTTACCTTTTACTTTAGTGAAGAAAACGAGAGAAAATGAAAAAAATCTATCAGTGAATACTTTTTAATTTGATTAAAAAAGAAAACGATGAAACATTGAGAGAAAGTGAATAGTTAATAATTGGGGCGGATTACTAATGAATAGAATTGGAATAAAATTATTCACTATTTACACGCAAGATGAAAAAAAAAAAAATGAAACCAACCCATTTAAAGTACTATTATTATAATTATTACATGAAAAAAAAAGTGCAGAGGAACTATTATGTAATTAATATGATTTTAGATAAAGAATAAAAGAAAATAATTGTAATTGGAAGTGGTTTTTGGGTGGTTTGACGAAAACACACATTGGGATTTATTTCAAAATTCTAAACTTTATTCTCTGTTTCTATATTTGCAATCCAATTTGCACATCATTGTTTAAATACTTTTGACTAGTTTTCTCGTCTCGACTTTATATCAACGCCGCCGCGCGCTCACAGTCCAAATGAAAGCTGTGAGTCATTTATTTTCTTATAACAACACATTTCCGTATCAGCAAATGCGTCTCGGTCTCATTAAAATGTTTCCTTATCTTTGACTTTTTATATTCCCATTGAAATTCCCTATGTAAAAAATGTATGTCTTTTTTTTCTTCTTTACAAAAAAGTCCGTCTAATTTTCCTTCATCGCATCTCCGCAAATTGTATTTTTGTCACAACTCTCCATCTTTCACATTACGCGAACTCACAGACGCCAATATTTTCACCATCGAGATCGCCGAGCGCGATATGCGTTTCCGGTGTGAAGTCTGATGGCCCGAGGCTGATGTCTTGCAGGCAGCCGCTGAACGATTTCCGGAATTTGCTTCCTGTGCGCTTCGATACGCTGTCGGTGTCTGGAAAACCACCTGAAAGAGCATCAAGAGAGATTTTCTTTAATTTGAAAATCATCAAGCACGTTGACAGTCTATTAAAGTGTATCGAGAAATTCTCAATGTCCCGTCTTTTCTCAGTTTTCTCAAACAAATGTGTTTTTATCGGCAGGATTTGCATTACCTATGAAAAACGTGTCCTGCAGGGTAATACTGTGACCGTCTCTCGTGAGATTGAATCCTCCTCTCTGATGTTTCTCGTCCGAGAAAATGCGTCTCCCGTCCAGAGACATTTTCAGCTCCTCGTCGTCTGAACTGAGCAGAAGATTGTGCCAAGCGCCGTCAGAGATGAAGCCGCCAGTGGCAATGTCCACTGTGCCATTGTTCATCGCCAAGGCACTGCTGGCGACCCTCAAGCGGCCCCTCTCGAGGCCAACGCCGAAGAATTTCCCACCCGATCTGTCGCTCCACAGCAGCAAACCACTTTGGCGCGTGGTGGAGAAGTTCAGTGAGATCTCCACACCTTCGGGTGATCGGAGGAAGAGAACAGGGCCGTTTCGCTTGCCCTTCACGGGAATCCTCTGCGGTGGCACGACCAGATAGCTGTTGCCACCGAAGCTCGGCGTGGAGAACTTGCTGGTGGCAATCTCGCAGTAGAAGCCACCCCAGCCGTTGGGGCAGCTGCACTCACCGTTCCTCTGGCACTTGCCGCGGTTCTTGCACGAGATCATGTGACAGGACTCGGGAATCTGACAACGATCGCCCTTGGCATTCTCTGGACACTTGCAATGCGGCTGGAGTTTATCGTCCAGCCAACAGTGACCACCGAGATCACATGAATCACCACCGCACGCCGTTCCATCGCAATCCTGGATGTTCCGCGATTCTGGTGAGTGATTGAGAAAGTCATGAATTGATTGAAGAGGCTATTTTGCTAGAAACCTTACCTAAAATGTTCGTCTCATTGAGAACTATTCTGGTTCCGGAGACAGAAAGCTGCCGAATGCATCCTCTGAACGGCACAGGAAAGCCTGAGATGGAATTGTACGGCAAGTGAGAGGAATCTGGAAGTCCGCCCAGGAAGATTTTCGTATCCCTTCTGAGAAAGAATCCATTGGAATCTGAAGAAGCACTGGTGGCACTTCCTTCAACCCAGAGACTGAGTCTTTTGCCACTTTGAGCGAATCGAACTTTGTGCCATTCACCAATGGCGAGCATTCTTGAGCTCCTCAGCACACTCACGTGGTGTTTCTGACTGGACACCCTGAACTCCACCACTCCACCCTGTAGGGAGAGACTCACGAAGCCCAGAGAGCTGTCCAGTTCATCTTCGTGGGCGCCAAAGAACACCAGCAAACCGCGCTCTGAAAGCGGTCTCACTTGGAACTCAATTGAGTACTGCTGAATGCTGAGATGAGCCACATTTCCGGGGGATGTGAGCATCATGAGGGGTTTCTGGGGCGCCTGCGGATGTTCCACCTCATTGATAAACTTCATGCGGATGGGATTCAATTGGCGGGAGAATTTGAAGGCTCTCGGACGATTGAAGAGCGCTGATGTTATGTTTATGTGTGGTTTCTCCACGCGAAGGGCATCAGATGTAATCTCATTCTCCTCTTGGGCATCATCTTCTGGGAAGGCTGGCCATGCTATCGCCACGTATGAGCGTCGTCCAGTCAATGAGACGTCACTCAGCGATTTGATAACTGGTCAATTGAGAGAGAGTTATAGCATAATTTCGTTTATCAATTGCCGAATAGTCTCACCAATTTCACAGTTCTTTCCCATCCTCCCAGTGGGGCAGTCACACTCGTAGCCAGTCACCAGTGGAACACAGGTTGCTCCCTCGGTGCACATGTTATTCTCCGAGTCACATGGATTGGCGCTCTGGGTGCAAAGTGGCCCGAACCACCCTTCCTGGCAGATGCACCTGCACATTCAATAAGGAGGGAATGAGGACATAAAATAAAAATGCTCTTCCATTCAATGAAGAGGAAAGGATATCCTTGCCATGTCTTTGATGTGCTCTCTAATAAACTTCTTCATCTGTTGATGCTATCTTTGTGAAATCGATTTTAATTTTATCAAGTAACAACCATGGAAACGATTGTAAGAGAGAAATTACAATTTCCCAACGTCCATTTTCAGGGTATTACTCGGAAAGTCTATGGCAACTTTTTGATTAAAATCTTCTATGCTCAAGTATGCCATTCAATTGAGATATATTCTCAATTTGAGAACTCTGTGAATGCTCTGGGTGAATCGAAAGGTGCATTAAACTTACGTAAAAGTTGCTCCATGCTGAAGACAGGCTCCATCGTGCTGACACGCGTGTCTGTGGCATTCCCTGGTATTGCATTGTCCAACACCACGTCCTCTGACGCCTTTGGTGTCCTGCAGAGGCACCGTCACGTGGCCAGCCTTCAGGTGAACATCGTAGATGCAACCCTCAAAGCCAGAGTGCAGTGGCAAATCGTGAGGAAGTGTGGAGAAATTGCCCACTTCATGTCCACCCAAGAATATTATCGGCGTCACATCCATGCGAGTCAAACTGCCCGGGGCTCTTCCTGTGATGTTCACTTTCCCATCGACGGAAAGCCAAGCTTGCCGACCGTTGCGACCCACCGAAATAACGACTGGCTGCTGCAGATTCTCGCTCCTTTCCTCAATCGGTCGCTGCGTGAAGATTCTCCGCGGACCCGCGCCCAGATTCCACGTCAGCATGATGTAGCCTTGGATGAAGCTCACAGCCATGTGGTCGCTCTTCTCATCGTGGAAGCCACTCTGGCCGACGAAGGCCAGCAGAGAGATTTGGCTAATGGTTGCAGGCAAGATCTTAAAAGTCAGCTCCAAGGAGTACTCCAGGGGAATTGGCACTGGATAAGCGACGTACGAAGACAGTCCCTCAACACTGCCTGAGAATGTCGGTTGAGCCACTTCCAAGTCTGAGAACAAGTGGGAAAATATGTGCTTCCTTGTTTAAAAGCTCTCTTACTCTGTACTCATCTCCTGCCAATTATTGCAACATACATAATCAGGAAGGATAAAAGCTGGAAGGCAGGATGTGTGTGTGTGTTGGGAAAGGAGCAGAAACACAAAGTTAGGCTCTCCCAAGACATAAAATGGGGATGCGATTTATTTCACCAGTACGCCAGACACTTGGTTTACAAGCGCAGGCAGTACACTTCCTCGCAACTTGATTAATCTCCTCCAATAAATGTCCCAGCTTGAGGTGCAGCGTTGCGGAAATTGCCGAGGAAACACCATTAATTGATGAGTAGCGTTGGGGAAAGTGGAAAAGCAAAAAGTGATGGCAGTTATTTGATTTGAATTAAGAGGCCGACCGTGTGGGAGGAAGGAAATTAAAAATGATGCGCTGTGTGGGTTGTCGCAGAGACGAGACGATACACGGAAATGAATTTTCCGCCATGTCGAGTGTGAGTGCCAAGGCGAGAAGTATATTTACTCATCACATGGACTGGGAATTGGCAGGGTAAACTACATATAGGAGTGTGTAATGTACTCACTGTGTTCGCAATAGTGGCCGTGCTTGCCAAATGGACAGAGACATAGGTAGCCACTTCCCGGAAATTGGACACATGTGCCGCCGTATTGGCAGGGATTGTCGGCGCACACGGATATCTCGCAAGTGGGCCCAATGTAGCCTGTGGGACACTTGCAGCGCCATTTATCCTCGATGGACGCCCCAAACTCCTCCTCGTAGTCGTCCTCCGACTCCACTTCCTCACCTTTCGTCTCCAGCTCAATGCAAACAGCCCCATTTCGACACGGATTAGCCAGACAGGCTAATGAGCCGCACTCTGTGATGCCAAAACCGTCCTCGGCGTCACTGCAAAGGGGAAGATTTCTCGGTAAATTCCGCATACATCCTATCGTCTTGTGGAGAATTCTAATAAAAACTCCGACGCTTCGATGAGGCGCGAGTTATTGAAAGATAGTCCAGGAGGGAAAATGGTCAGATTCGGTGGGGAGATTTTTCAATGCTCGTTTTCTCATGAATAATTTTGTCCTCGATACGCGCGGAAGTGCTAATTTCCACTTGAGCAGCGAAGCAAAGTGACTCACTTCATCCCTTTTGCAAAATCAATCGAATTACTCACGCCTCGAGCGATGGACATTTTGCGCTTCGCCAGCAAGAATTTTCCAATGATCTGAGCACACGCAAAAATGCCATGGAAAAATATTGCCTGTCATGTAAATATTTAAAGGACACACTTTTCTTCAAATTAAAACACATCCTTCGTCTGTGTGGGATTTAAAGTTGCCTTAATTTTCGCATTTGCAGATAAAAGTGCAGAAAAATGGTGCTAAAATCAGTTTGAAGTAGGGAAAAGTGAAAACCCAACAGCGCCTATTTGACGGAAAAACCAGACAAAGTTGAATCCCATGAGGACTGATAGCACATTATTGGGGGGGTGGTTTGGAATTTTTGGTGGTGGTTTTCTCCCTTTCTCTCTCCCTCTCTTTCTGAAGGCACGTAGTACGAAGCACTAAACAAATTGAAATTAATTTTTTCCACACCGACTCAGGATAAAAAAAGATGGGAAAAGTTTTCAAATTTTCATCATCGTACGATTAATTTAATTCTGAATAACTTGGAAATTCAATTTTTGTATGTTTTCACCGTTTTTTCCTGCACTGAAAAGTGCGGTATATCAATAGATTCCCTGCTCTTAATGGGTTTTAATAAAACCCTCCACCACCCTCCACCAACCCTCATCTCGTGATCCGATAGAAAAAGCGACGCCGAGCCACTGATTTGTGGCAGAGACGAAATTAATATTGTCTCTGCAGACGCACACATGTGCTCAAGAATGTCTCTCCCCCATAAAGCACCTCCATCTCAGCGCTCTTAAGGGTGGGACGAATTCCACCTTGTCGCGTCTGATTTTGGCCACGTGTGCAACAAATTTGCGAATGTTTGCGGCAAATGGGGCGGGTTGGCAATGGGGAGGCAATATTACCTAAATATTTGTCTTGGTTGTCCATTAATTTTCAGGGCGCGCAGACATCCTGTGAATCCCTCTCCGCCGGCGGCTGGCAAGTCATTTATCAGGCCGAAGGGGGCCTGCGGCGCCCCGCCGAGATGGAGCCACGCACTCTGGATGATCTTCCCAGGGCGCCGCTCCGGCCTCGCGGCGCCCAGCCACGTGGGCTGGTCGCCGCTCATGGCCAGGGTGTCGTTCACTCTCAGCGAGGCGTTGCAGTGGGAGAAGTTGCGACTGAAGTCGAGTCTGCGGGAGGAAAAAAGAAAGAAACTTCTGGCTAATGCAGGACTTTGAAAAATCACGCAAAGTAGTTCTGCAGTTGGGCGACAAAATGCCAACAAGCATTATTTATCACTGTCGGTGGAAATTCAACTCCTGGCATTCAATTGCTTTCCCAATGATCCTGGGGTATCTCGCAATCAATCCTTCTTCTTCTTTGAAAATACTCACTCTTGTGGTGTTTATTTTGCAGGGAAATTCTCTCTTTGGTAAAAAGTTTTTATCATTGATGGAAAATATACTGGAAAGAAGTATTATTGGAGTGCTCACGTTGAAGTATGATTTTGAATATTTCTCATGACTGAATTGCCTAAGTTTTCTGGGTGTTTAATGTTTGATTTTTCAAAAATTGATCCATTCGAGAATTTTAAAGTTTAGGTGTAAATGCATTCAAATTATGGCAATGAAAGTTAAACCTCGATTTAATTTCAACTTTGTGCTAGAATTGGTTATCATTTTTGTGCTTGTTTACAGATATGCTCGCTCGAATTACGGGGAATTACATTTGCCGATTGGAAGCGGGATTCCTTTAATTAAGTGCCAATTTGTACCACTCGCACTCTTCAATTATCTGTGCACTTGAGAAGAAGTAACAGGATTACAGGGCATTAGCTGTGCTAATTGAAATGGAGACTCACGCTGCATGAATAACCATCTCGTGGCCGGTGTTGACGGGAGCTTCCAGCTCGCTGAGCAGCATTGTCTGGAGGCCGCACGAGAACTGGAACTGCAGGAGGCCGCGGTGCAGGAAGAGAGCCAGATAGTGGCTGCCGCGGAAGCCCTGCACGGTGGCCAGCAGGATGAGACCGTCGCTCGCGCGCGTCCTGGCGCGCAGCTCCACTTGCATGGGCAGCGTCTCCTCCAGGCTGGCCGATCGGTGCCTGAGGATGCGGTGGCTGAGGATGCGGTGGCTGACGTAGGAGTTGCCCGAGAAGGCGGCGTGTCTAATCACGAGGGGCGCCTCACATTGAGCTCCCTGGCGATTGAAGCGGCACATGCACTGGGCGAGAGATAATTAAATTTGTCAATCATCCTGTCATACAATTGCCTGGGGATTTTTTCCAAACGATCATTCACTCGGCGCCCCCGGGGACTCTCTCGGCGGCCCAATTAAAATAGTCATAACTGCGGAGAGCTCGGTGGCGCGGGCGGGTGGTTTTACAATGGCGAACGAACCGTCCGTAATATCCAGCGGGTGATATTTTAATTCGCGCGCTCGGAGCCTCGGGAATTGTCAGCTTAAATGTATAAATTTTCCGCACGCGGCTTCTTCCCCAAATCACTCTGTCCTTTTCTTTGTTCCCACGCCACACATTGTTTCCATCCATAAGCCGATTTCAAATTCATAGTCATAATCCGATCCTAATTGAAATCCCATGCACCAATTTTCCACCCCACTTCAGGCACACGAAATCCCCGGCTATTGTCATCGATGAATGTGTGAAACAGTCGCGAAATCCACCCAGAGCTTTCAGCTTATACTCAGAGGCAACGTTACAATTCATTAATCAGACAATTCCCCGCCATTTCCGCAGTTTTCCACCGCTGGCTGTTCACGACAATCAATCGAGTGAAATGAACGCGAGCGGTGGAAATTATTGGTGGTAATAAATGCGGGATTTCCCATTGAAAATTAGTTTATGAGGAAATTCTGTTTTGCAACTACCCTATATAATCAATGCTAAGATTGCACACCCATCTGTGCATCAAAACCCACAATTCATCCCCCAAAAACATGCACTCATCGTGATAAATTCAATTTCCGTTAGCATAATGCGACAGTCAATGGCAAATAATTGTTTTCGATTTGCAAATATATAGTGAAAAGTGTCACATTCAAGCATTCAATTATTGTTAAATGTGGATCAGTGGGATTTTTCGCGGATACACGCGAAAATATGCGGAAGTTGTGCCACCCTTTGGATCCCTGTTGATCATATCGTTTCGACTTGATTCTACGTCAACAAGAGTGTGGGGACATCCACTCTCTCTGTCACTTTTGGTATTTATTTTATCAATCTCTGCCCATTTCCCCCCTCCCATCATTCCTCAGCGCACTATCACATCCCATGGGAAATGTTGTTTTTCACCATCACAGGCGATTGATAATAGAGGAGGTGGTTGGGGGGGATAAAAGTGTGAAAACTTGGTGCAAACAAGGTTAAATACATTTCCTCTTTTTTCTCCTCCAAGTGGGTGGGAAATCGCAAAGTTGTTAGTCTGTCCTGAACACCCACATTGCTTCTGGATATAATTCTAAGAATTCCCTCTTCATTATATCTCCCCCATTCCCGGACATGGTCGGCACTTGAAAGCTGTCATGCTTTCAGTGCACCATTTTGTGCTCAAAAAGATCTCCACACTATGTAGTAAAATTTTGCTGACATCTCTGGGGTTGTCCGGGTTGAGAATGGGAAAAAAGCCAACTAGCAAATGTGTAAAACGGCGAGTGAATTTGAATTGGATTGTCGTGGAAATGGGAGAAAATATCGTACTCACCCGCATTCCTTGGGACGTGCTCACACATGTTCCCCCGCTGAGACACGGCTGCCTCATGCAATCCGGACTTCCGGTGTAATTTTCCAGGGGAATCGTCGTCGGGATGCCCATTGTTGTGCTCTCCGTGGCGCTGAAGGTGGTGTCCTCCTCAGCGGTGCTCCTCCGCGAGGGATGAGTGGTGAAGAAGGGATCAATGGTGGTTTGAGTGTCTACAGCTTCTGTCCTCGTTGTCACTTCCTCCGTGGTGGTGAAGAAGGCAGTCGTGGACGTGACTGTGGATGTTCCCAGCGAGGAGCTTTCGACAGTAGACGTGGATACAGTTGAGTCCGGCAATATTTCAGCGTCTGTGGTTCTTGCTGTTGAAAGAGTGCTTGTTGGGGGTTCCTCAGAAGTCACAGTGCTCGCCAGAGTTGTTCCAAAGACACCCTCAGTGCTACTCTCAGGACGTCCTGCTGTCTCCTGTGTGGAAAATACTGTACTCTCACTTGCTTCGCTCTCAGTGGTGATTGTCGATGGTGTTGTGGGCTCTTCGGTGGTTCTGGTTGTTGGCACAGTGGAGCTGGTGTGGGAAGCAGTGGTCGTCCACCCAAGCGTGGCAGTCTCAGTCTCCTCGTCCGTTGTCCTCGTAGACAGAATATCAGTGGTTGTGGGCGGAAGAGACCAGCCAGGTGGGCGGGTATAATTGCAATTGAAATTCCCATCGGTGAGTACTAAACACTCACAGAGTGATCCGCTGAGATCAGGTGGGCAGGAGCACGAAAAATCGTCCACTCCATCAATGCAAGTTCCCCCATTTTGGCACCTAAAGCCAGAATTGCAATATGGCCATTAAAGTTCCAATTCCTCTTTCCGATGAAACATTAAAAGTAATTAAATATGAAATACTTATTTATGAAATTAATTATACAACTTTTCATTGATTTTATCCATGAAACAAGAGTTCCTACTGGGAGACCGGCATTATTCATAAATGTTGAATGAACACATATGATTATAGAGCTTTCGGAGCTTTTAATGTTATTTCATATTAAATAATCTATGCGTCTAAGTAAATTTGACTCTTTCAGATAAGCAATTTTAATCATTTTTGAATATCAAAATTAAATATTTGGATACTGTGTGATTTTTTTTTATATTTTCCATATATTCAATCAAAATTTAATATATTTAGATTTAAATATATTTAAATTTTGAATATTTTTGCCACATTTTGCCGCCAGAGGGCAATAGTTTAAAGGCATGTGAAACTTCCCATTCTTTTTCCAAAGCAAGTATGACCCTGCGATTAAAGTACTGGCTTGAACTCCTACATTTAGTCGTTTGAGATCAGTTTGTGGAAAATTTGTACACACATATTTCCTTTTTCTGTCATGTTTTGTACCACAATGGGCTAATATGGGATGTTAAAATGCCTCACAATAAATAATGACCCATAAAATGAAATTTGTTAAGCAAATTGTAGAGCACAGGAACAAACTTGCCCTCGGAAAATACAATCGGAACTTCTACATGCGTTTAAACTGCTGCCCTCTGACGGCAATATGTGGTTAGAATATTCATTTTTTAAATGTTTATTAAAAATTTAAATATTTGGTTTTCTCATAGAAATTAATAATAGATTCCTCAAAAATCGGCTACTGAATTTTCCCTCGTGATGCGTTATCATGCGTACTCACCCTGGCCCGAGGAGGCATTCGTCGTACTGGTTTTCACATTTCTCGCCGTGAAAATCGGGAACGCAGTAGCAGACTGGTTGGCCATCCTCCATCAGACATAAGGCGTCATTCCGGCATGGAGAATCGTCACATACCAGAATTGCCTCTTCGCAATCGTTTCCAGTGAAACCTTAAAAAAATACCTCATTTAATCCTCAATTCTGTGGATGTTTTACACCAGAATAAACTTCGTTAAAATCGCTAATTTATACCAGTGAACTGTCTGATAAAATATAATTGCGAATTCGAATGTTATTAATTACGGAGTGTATGTTAATGATTGGCATACAGATTTTTATTGGAAATTCAATAAATGCGGCGAATTTAATGAGGCTCACCTGTGATGCAAGCACACGCGTATCCGGCGAGTTTGTCCACACACACGCCGCCGTTCTGGCAGGGAGACGAGGCGCACTCATCGACTTCCTGCTCACAGCGATCGCCCTCCCATCCGGGGGCGCACTGGCAGGTGAAGGAGAGGCCGGGACCTTCGAGGCATTCGCCGCCGTTCTCGCAGCGTTCCGTTGCGTTGGCGCCGGCTGGAAAGGGTCGGGAAGTGGTTGGAAAGTGGGTCGTCTGGGGTGGTTGGGGGTGAACGTACCTGATTCGCACACGGCCACATCAATTTCGCAGTGTCCTCCCAGGAAGCCAGGCAGGCAGGTACATGTGTAGCCGTTATCTCGGTCATTGCAGACGCCACCGTTCTGACACGGGTTCGACAGACACTCGTCGAGATTCTCCTCGCAGTTGAGCCCTGGAATGACATGACAAGGTTCATATATTGCGTCGAGGGCATCCCTCATGAACAATGGAGTGTGTGTGTGTGCTCACACATTTCTTTTTATGGGCCACACTGGGATTTATTAATGTGCAAATACAGTGGGTGTGATGTTTATAGTTTTGCCACCAAAGACAGGAGAATTCGGGGCGCACAGTGGGTGCTCCTGATGCTCATGGGCATGAAAAATGACTCGGTCGGGAGTCGGGCGACAAGAGCAAATAAAAATGATGAATAATGCAGAGAAATGAAATGTTTTCTGGACATACGGTCACTGGGTAATTGCACAATTTTGGCCTTTTGTCTAATTCACTCTCATCATTTTTCACGCACGCCATGACACAGCTCAATCTCAGTGACAAGATGAAAGCATTTTGGAAGCAGCAAAAATTATCCCATTGCATGTCCTCTGAAACTTTCGTGGTTTCAATTCGGGATTCACGCAACACTCGCCACTTTTGAGTGTGAAAACTGAGTGCTTATCGCAATTTGTAATTCGAGTGTTAAATGGGGAAATGTGTTGTCACACACTCTGGCTTATTTGCGCCTCTTTCTGGCCTAATTTGCACTTACTTTCCCGTCTTTGTGGGAAACCCTCGAGGATAAACCTATGGCCAGACACCGCACGGTTGGCCTAAATTAGAATATCACCTGACATTCTCACTTTATCGCGCGTCAAATTACACTTGTTTGTTGGCGCCAATTTATTAAAATTTAAATACAATCTTGCTCTAATTACAATTACAGTATTAAATATTCAGCAAAGCCGTATTCATCCCGGTGAATTGTTGAGAGGTAGCAAAAAAATAACAGCCTCATTGCGTTACTTCGCAACATTGTATGCTATTTACACTTTCCATTCAACAAAGAGGGATTATTTGTTTGCTCATACTGTACAAGTGCAATTATGGCACTTCGTTTAATTAGATGTGAGATGAGAAATGACAAATACTTGCAAATGAAATGATTATAACATTTCATGGTGCTTCATTTGTGCATTGTTGAAAAATCTAGCTTAAACATCATTGAAAACTCTATCAAAATTCTATTTTAATTCAGTAATCATAATTTATTTATATTGAGAATTGAAACATTTCCATTTGAACAGAGTCAGCTAAAACGATTTTCCTGTTTGTGGGAATTATCATGAAAATTTATTCAATTTGCATTTTCTATGCAAAATCACCCCAGGTCAAATGATATACAGTATCAGCGGATCAAATATTTAACCCTGCAAATAATCCTTTGAAAATTGTGCTCTTAATAACATCCTTGTTTTTTATGTAAAATTTAACTTTTTTCAAGACTTTCTTAATTAAAATCTGAATTGTCTCCAACACTGGTGTGTGAATTCATGGGAAATTTTAAGATGTTATGTTTATTAATTTTAGAATGTGTTTTCCGAATTAATTTCTTTCAAAATTCTACGTCAGTGAGAGTTAAAGTGTCTGATAAAATCATTGAGCTTTCAAAATAAACTCATTACGTTCACACGATATTTTAACTTTTTATAACTCACGTTGTTGTATTTTTCATCATTCTATTTATGATTCGTACTTTGTCACGCCATGTTTTTTCCGTCTGCAATCAATCCTTGTTTAAGTGAATAATGAGAATGCATTTCGTGATTCAAGCGATGAATTTAACACTGTGCATTCTGTGTGACTAAAAGACATTCTGAATAGTTTTGGAGTGATAAGGAGAAATTAGAGCAGAAAATAGAGATATGAAAGCGCCTGTTTCTGCAAAAATAACTTTTCAATTCACACAATATATTGTGCACTTGATGGCCTTGCACCTAATTTAGAATTCTCGTCTCGATTTCGTGCTATTTAAAGTTTGGGGTGTGATATAATTTCGCAATGTATTATTTACACAGAACGACTGTGATGATGGAGTTTTGATGGCAATTGCAGCACTCTGGCTGCGAGACAAGTGTTGGCCCAATTGATATTTGATTCATGCTATTGGATTCCCATTTCAAAGGCAGACGGACAACCACTCAGAAGACAATTCAAATCGATAATCGCCCTTCTTTTGCCTCCGCCAGTCCTTCACACCAAGTTCATTGTCCAGCCATCAGAACACCCTCGGCAAGTGTGCCACTCGGGAAAATGATAGACTTGTGGCGTGTTTTCTTTCACTGGGAAATCAGGCAAATAGGGTGGTTGGCCGCCGCCTGTTTTGACCACCAAACACCCTGTGGAGTGGAAATAAAAGTGAAAGGAGACGAGCTTTCCTCCTCAATTCCCTCCCTATTTTCTTCCTTTCCTCAGCGCGCGAGTCACGAAAGCCACGGGATAATATGTTGGATTAAAGAGTTAATTCGTGAAATGTCTGTGGGCTCTTCAGTGCTTGAATTTCCTGTGTAACAAGTTAATCATACTTTCTGCGGCTCAGACACAAAGATAATCCCTCCAGCTATGTTCTCGTGGTATTTAAAAAAAAGAGGAAAAATTTGGGGAAAAAAGTAAAGCGAAATATTTTTCATTCCTGAGTAAGTTATGAATAAATTAAAATATTCACTGAATATGCGCACGTTCTTCAGATGTGATTTCCAATTAGCTCTGTGAATTACATTGTCCATCGGTGGAATGCTGAATATTCTGGGAATTTTCATATCTGCACAATAATCCAGCAATGTTTAATTCAGCTGCAAATGGCATTTATGAACCAACATTATTTATTATTAAAATTCGCCACATACATATATTGACGCGCTCGTAAATACAATTGGAGATCTGAGTGCGGTGTTTAATTATTAATAACTTCTTGAACTATATTTTAACATATTATTAACTCTTTTACTCAAAATTCAAATTAATTAACCACAAAGCAATTAATTGGATTGGAATGGGGGGAAAAGTTTCTCGGTATTTACACTTTTCCAGAGTTATTTATCACATTGCCTTATCGCTAAAGTCATCGTGGAAATAATCAACAAACCTCAACTGACATTTAACACAAAGTTTAATGATCCTTCACTCCTCACCAAACTCCAAACGAGGTGTTTCCCCAATTGTTTCGATTTCGATTTCAGACAGTTGGAAAGTTCGTTCTCAAGATGTGTTAAGGTATACATATAAGACAGATGATTATTTCTTTTGCCATAAAGACGAAGTGTGCAAAGAAAGTGAGCTTTGGGAGGGTGGAAAAAAAAGCGCAGCTCAAAAAATGATGGCAAGAATTAAGAGGATATCTCATTAAGGGAATACACGTAAAATTCAACTCTTTCAGCAGAGAGGGTGTACTTATGGAAGAACTGTTAATGCCACACAGCAAATTCACTTTATGCCCCATCATCTCACCCCCAAAACTCACAATCCTCTTTAGTGGGATATAAATATAATTCCGCGGTGGCGGTGAAATGTAAAATGTCGAAGTGTATTAACATGTTTACCGAAAAATCAATATAAAACGTTTAAACATGGACGGGTGGTGAGGGTGGCATCATTTTTTGGGCGCGCCAGAATGCTCGTGCGGTTCATATATTGTTGATTCAACATTGCCGATCGTGGTATTTGGCGATGTTATTTTACGCTGCACCAAATTCCCTGGCTTTAATCATATGGAATAGGGATGATGTGTGTGTATATGAGGCTGATATAATGTTGCGGCAGACAAAATTATTGCACATAATTGCTTATTTATGGAAATATTTGCCGGTGAAAAATATTGAAAATGCTAATCATGATGATTTATTGTTTTAAATTTGTGACCCTATTATTAGATTTATCATGTAAAATGTGCTAAATGATTCTTTTAACTCTCCACAAATATAATTTTACGCGCTTTTGGGGCTTTTTCGGTGGCACAACTAGATTAATGACTTTTTTGGCTGCTTCACTCACCGGCAAAACCCTCCGGACAGCTACAATTGTACTGGGCGACGCCGTCGATGCAAGTTCCGCCGTTGTGGCACGGAGATGACCAGCACTCGTCCCAGTTTGTCTGACACTGCACACCTGTGTAGCCGTCTATGCAGTAGCAGGAGTAGGTGCTGGCAAAAAGGATTCCACATGAAATACCAGTGCATGAATAAAGAAATAATGACATGCAGAGACGAAGTGGAAATTCTATCTTAACACCCTCTCAGATGGGGATGATTGAAGTGGCAAATAAGGGATTGGATTAAGGAATTCCAATTTCACCAATCTCCAAATCTATGTATTGCAACAATTCTCTGGTGCAATTCTTCAGAGCTTGTAAAGCTCGAAAACTGTCATATGTGAGTCTCATTATGTCATTTATTATGCCAGATTCTCAGAAGTTGTGCACTTGTGCAATGTATTGCAAACATGCCTGAGTGAATTCTTTAGCTTTTGATTAATTACGCATTGTTTATCAAAGTTTGAAGTAATGCCATAATTACACAGAAAGTTTGGAGACTCATGAATTTGTGTTCATTTATTGTCACAGTCAATTCACTACATTTTCATCAGTGCGCCAGAGAAGAATAATAACAAAAGTGGCAAATAGACTTCCAGTCGCTGTCTGATGAAAAACCCTTTTCGCGTTTCTCTGGAGTATTTCCATTCATGGCCAGAATTTAGGGTGACAGTTTATTTGATTAGCATTGAATACACATGGAATTTTTCAACAATAAGTCAATTTGACTTATGCCATTGTCGCTGCTCACATGTCTGGAACTTGGAATTCCATTTGCCAGAAGCCTCCGGAGGTTTTAGCATACAAGAGACACACGATTAAATTACATTTGTTGTCATCCTCCAATGGCATTAGTCATGTTAAGTGAGATCAAAGATTTTCGACGCAAATTATATTTTCTTAGAGATGAAAATCATAAAAGCCTGACTTCACAGCCGCACCCCCGCAGAACCTTGTCATTATTCATCTCACTCGTCATGTCTTTGTGATGGCATATATTGTTGTATTTGGCGAAACTTCCATCTCGAATTTCGTCGGGGAAAACCCAGAGGGAGGGAGAGAGAGTTGGTGGGAAGGGTGGAAGGGGTGGTAAAAAGCAGCACATTGGACTGGCAATTTTCCGAAATGGAAACTTTTAACCCAATTCAACCAAACGATAGAATGCTACAATGTATAGTTGGTGAAAGTGTGGCGAAGGTAAGGGGTGGATACATTGTAATATTGGAGAGCTTTTCCCCCAACTTCCGATGCGCGAGAAAGCTGGAAAAAGCACACACGAGCACAGTTGTATGGTGACATTTTTAGTGAGAGATGCGATCGTTTATTTATGAATAGCGGATGTGAAGTGAAAACATGGTGAGAAAAATGAAATATGGAATATTGTGTGTTGACCAAGGCGCTGTGGAGCGAGCTGGGGAAGCTCGAATTATGAATTCTTGAGCACATCGTCGTCGCCATGCACATATTTCAGACAATTGCAACTGATACTCATCGTGCTGCGCCAGCCTGTGGATTTATATGCAACTTCGGCAATTGTTGCCACATGAATTACCTGTTCAGGTCATCAATGCAGACGCCGAAAACACATGGGTTGCTCAGGCAGGCATAGCCGGCCCACACACCACTTGTTGTGGCCAGACAAATTAATCCCGCCAAGATGACAAACTCAATTCTCGCCAGATTGTATCGACGGTGAGTTGCGGTGGTCTGTTCCGGATGGCGCACCGATGAGCCTCGTCGTCCTGTCGACATCCTGGCGTGTCGATGAATTCGTGGTTCAAGATCACCAGCTAAATTGATTACCAGGCGCGCGTTTCCGTGTATTCAGCGACATTGATCGATGCTCATGTCGCAGTTGAACGATTTACACATGGCCGAAATCTAAAACGAAATCAGAAATGAATAAATAGTGATGAAAGCCGGAAATAAGGGTGTTCTTTAGGCAGTGACAACATCCATTTTTGGCACATATAGTTTTGTTATTCAATATTGCTGCTGGCATAAATCAGAATTCATTCAGTCAAATATGTTGAAAAAATTGTATCAGTTTTTACAAAGTACGAAATTCACAGAAAGCGGGACAAAAAAGTAATACTTTGTGTTGTAAAATTCTAATAAACTTTTTTCCAACAAAATCGCAACTGGGATATGTTATTTGTATGAGCGGATTAGCGAATGTACTGTAAAATGATTAAGCTTGGCGCGATTTTTTCCCCAAACAGATCCCAAATTTGTTATTTGGCTGTCCTCATGGAGGATTGGGCTTTTGGGGAGCGGGTATATGTTGTGTTGGCACAAAAATGGCGAGTTGAAGTTTTTCTTTCATGCCCGTACTATATGGACTTTTTGGGCGCGCAACAGCAAGAGCAACAGAATTAGTGGCAAATATATTTTGGGTGAACGACTGTTAATGTCAAGTGGGTGGTAATCTATGATCCGGGCCGAGGCTGGGGCACCTGCCTGTGAACCACGGAAGAGGGACTCTCGCAGTCGTAACAGATGGACCATTAATTTTCACGATAATTGATGAACAAGCAATTTTTCATAGGGCCACCGGCGCAATTTCATTTGCCACCCCTTTTGCCAGCTCACACAATCTCATTCTCTAATTTTCACCCCTTCACAGCACCATTTTCGAGACCAACAAAAAAATTCGCTGAAGTTGGTTTTTGGGACAAAAAAAAAACATCCTTTCAGATGCCTTTTATCTCGCCACGAACACTCATCGCGGATCTCGCAGAATAAAATGTCCGAAGAATATGTCTGAAAGCCTTGCTTAGCTTATGCGGTGCTGGGATTTTTGGAGTTATCTTGAAATGTTGATCTCGATCTTGGCTAGTGAACCCAAAAGACTGTAATTTCGCAAAATTTATCAGAGCCTCTTTTTATATTGGCTAAATTTTGAGCTTTAAAAATTATGATACAAAATGAAAAATTGTAAATTGGTTGATGTTTTCTTATCAACCGCAAACAAATGTTTAAAAAAGCTCCTCGCTCTATGCAAAACATCTTATTATCAATAAATGCAACTTCATTTTACTGTACAAAACATGTTTCGGTTGTATTTAATGTCACACTACCGTAATGCAAAGAGTGTTATTTATGTTTATCATTGGAAAAGTTTGCGGAGTTGCATAGTTTGACTCTTTCCTCCAATCCACGTGAACTTGTGTGTACATACGTCGTTTTGCCATGTTTAAAGTTCAGTCAGAGTTCAAAGTGTGTGACACGAAAAAAGGGAGGGCTTCTCCGGATGTGGAGGATTTTTTTGTTCGCCCTCCCATCCCCCCCTCTGTCCCCTGTTTGGAGAGCCCTACAGACACTCTGGGGTGGAATGATTTTGTGGAAAAGTTTGCTGAAGCATTTGAGGCAAAAAACAGCCCTCGTGGTATTTCTGCCAGACTTCCTCTCCGAAATACCGTGTACAGAAAATCCTGAAACTATGAAATGATTCTGAAACACGATTAGATTGTAGAGGAGAATAAAGTCCTTTCCCTGACCTCTGTCACCTCACGTTTTCCCAGTGAATGCCGAGAATGGTGCTCCTTTCATAACTCAATTGAACTCTTTGCCTCGTTGTGCTCAGGCAATGAAATTTACGTTCCCCTGAGCACCGTATTTGACCCATTTCGCCCATCGATGACGAACGTAAAAGGGGCGCCCATCAACTTGAAATAATAAACTGTGAAAGTTTGGCCTCAAATATACTCATGCCTCTTCACACTCGCCTCCCGACTATGCCTCGTAAGACGTCACTTCCCTGCAAAACACTTGTATATTGTTTTATGGGTCAATCAACTTCCTCTTGGCCACGAGTTCATCGTATAGGGAAAAAAGGAGGCTGAATGAGCTTGCAAAGTTTGCATCAGGTGTGATATTTTCATGTTCACCCAACTATAGTCGAAAATTTACGGTTTTGCCAATGGAGTAGGACAAAATAAAGGCAATTCAGAGGCTTGACGGACGAGATGAAAAGGATTTTCTTGTATATGGTAACGCTTTCCTGAATATACTATGCTATATTTTCACTTCCTTCTGTCCCACAAAATCATAAACACCCCAAGCTATTATCGCTGGCATAATCATATATTTACAGGGCAGTGCACAGAATGATGGATTGAGGCCATGAGACATGGCGAGAGAGAGAGAGAGATTGAGGGAGATAGGACAACACCCAAGCTCTTCAGTAGCTTTTGTAGTTAATCGTGTGGAAAATTAGGAAATTTACTGCCTCCGCTTTTTCAGCAGGGCAGGGGTGGAAAATGAATTTTCAAGACTACATTCTAATCCTGTTTGTCAGTGATGAAAAAAATGCCGCTATTACTGACACAACGCACAGCACCATAATTTGCCATATACAGAAGATTTAACTCAACAAAAAGGCCATAAACAACACCCCTTTGCTGTTTTTTATTTAAAAAAAGGGTTTATTATCACGCGGGAAAAAGCACGAGTTCTGACACCTCTTCACATGATAAAGTGCCATGGATGGCGTTCCCATTAAGTGGCAATTGAAAGTTGATGAATTGTCTCCACACTTGCATGGTGTCTAACTCATAGGCCAACATATTGGGCTTTTGCTAATTAAACGCGACTCGTAATGCCGAGGACAGGGCTTAATTGAATGGTATCACCTCGTCGGCGGGTGCTTAAAACTTAATTTAATATGGGCTCAGCGTCATGTTCACGCTGGTTTCATGTGTTTTGGCGCTCATGCTTTTGTGAAACTCAAAACCAACAAAATTTTAGTGTGTCTTTGAGGTTGAATGTTGGACGGATTTATGGAGAGATCTTATTACATTTAGTCTTAGGTTGTGTCATTTCCAATTAGCACTTCAGTACAGAATGTCTGATTTATTAATGCATTGGCTGAAATTTGCCTTCTTCCACTGTCCCAACAGTCGTTCTTTAATTTATGTCCTGCTTCACATCAAGTCCAATAGAAAGTTTAAAATTGAACTTGATAGAGAAATATATTAAAATCGACACTTTTCAAAAGCATTACGAGAAAAGTTTTCGCGCTATATTTAATGCATGAAGCGAAAGAGTTGAAAGCTGTGCTTCGAGGGTTTATGAATATTTCCTTCTTTGACCCATATATTCAATTATATGGAATCAAAGAATCCTTGAGCAAATTGATTGCTTTAATTTAATTAATACATTTTTCACAATTGAAATGTTGGATTTTTATTGACAATTTTGAAAGCTTTCCCTGTGCCAAATGGAGTGGAAGTAGAGGAAAAAGTTCGAAAGCTCTCTGTGGCCAGTTTGAGGTGTTATCGATGGGTGGCTGAAGTGAAAAGTGTTTGCTTAGCGCACACACTGTTAGCAGACTTCGATGGAGAAAGTTGTCGAGTGCTTCAGTCATTCAGGGATCTTCCATGGTGTCTCCCTCTCAACTGAGTATATTGACATAATCCCACAATCCTTTGTGCTCTGGCAAAACCCACACGGCATTTGAATATTTGACAAATCTTCCTTAGTCCCGACATGGCACTGGATAAAATCAATCGACGGGATTGGGGAAAAATGACATCCAATGTTGAATTTTGAGGACATAAACAAACATCGAGAGCCAAGTATTGATCAGTGTTGGAAATAAGTAAACCCAATGACGATTGTATGTTTGGCGAATTAACAAATAAAATACACCTGTCAAATGTCAAGTTCAGTCGTTAATTACATAACATTTTCAATTATCAATAGACTAGAAATAATGAATTTTACTTGTGCTTTCTGCCGCTGTCGGTAAAGGTTGAAATTTTATGCTTGGAGACATTTGTGTTCTTCAACCGATTATCTCTACTAAACTTTGTTCAAGACAATAACAGCCGTTAAATCGCATGCAGTCTCGTGTTTCCGAAAGGTAGTTGATAAGTTCATTTTGTATAAAATTCAAATAGTTTAATCACTTAATTATTATTTAAGTATAATACTGTTCATTCGCCATGGATGAGTGTGAGGCACTGAGAAAGCATGTTCATTTTGGCGTTGTTTGCACAAAACTTTGATTAAACACTATATACTCTTTTTCCCCAGATAAATTTCTCAATTTCCAGACTGGAATAAGCCGAGTTAATTAATTAGTTCCGGTGATGGATAATGTGATGGTTCTGAGAGATTATTATTCTCCTCGAGGGCAACTTTGAAAAGGGGTTTTGGCAAGATGATTTGGCCTTTTTCTCTGCGACGCAGAAAAAAAACTTCCTGCAAGCTTAAGTGAAAATATTCTTGCAATTCTGCGGCAAATTATGCCTAGTTTAGAAAGACTTCACATGTGAAAAGTTATATCAAAAAGTGTTTCAAAATCATATCAGATGGAGTTTTTCCATGTGGTAAAAGAATTTCTGTGAATTTCAGCCGCACATTCTCAAAAGTTTTCCATTTTCCATGGCACACGGAAAAGAATACAAGGGCGAAGTTTTTCGTGGTGCACAACAAAAGCCGTTGAACATTGAAACTATTCTGTCGATTGAGTTTTCGTAGTCATGGTGTATCATAGGGTGGAAGATTCCGTGGTTGCGCCCCAAGTGTGGGGAAATTGAGTCAAAAATTTCCCACCCTCTCCCTGCTGGGGAGCACGGAAAATATGGCTAAAGTCATCGTCCTGGCTCGTGTGAGATGCTTTCATGCCTTCCTCG